TTTGGTAGTTTCTTTAACGGTAACCCAAATACCTGCCTATTTTGATGGCCACATTTTCGCCACATTTTTTCTTTGTTTTTTCCCCTCAAGAGAGAGTAAAGAGAGAATGGATATGATATGCACGGATCAACAGGGTCCTTACTCAAACTGGCGCTGCCAAGATGGCATGTCCTCTCACCACTTGATCACAAGCATCCCGATAGCCATAGTGCAGTGCAAAGTACAAATAGAAAACTACTTATTTTTACCTGTTCCCTACCTGATCTTGTTCAGAAGAATCCCTTTTTATCAAGCCACATAGCAACAACCTGTGAATTATTAAAGCATATAAAAACCCCAAACTCAAGGGATAAACCAGTTTTGTTTCTACATATAACAGATATCTTAGCAAAGAGATTTTAGATTTAAGCTTAAAGCACTTTGACTAGCTGCATGTCACAAAGACACACCATCGTATGGTAATTCTCAAAAAGCCTAACCATCATACAAAAAAAATCTGAAAATAATCCAGCAAAGACTTGAGACAAGATCTGAGAGATGCATCTGGACCTTCAGCTGATCTATCTATTGTTTGCTCAAGCCACATCAGAAATGCTCTCCATCTAAGGTCTGAGCTATGCCAGATGACACAAGAATTGCACTTGAAATCACTGGCAACAGGTCTGATGGAGGGATGAATCCTCCCCCAGAGCATTACCTCGATATGATTGAAGGTTTAGGGTATGTCTGAAATATAACAACAATGACATTTGTCATCCGAAATGTTGTCTGTTAGAATTGTACACTTTCATTGCTTTAAATACTGTAGTTCCACTTATTCCTACACATTTGAATAAATTACCAATTTCTTTTTTTCTTGGAAATATATGAGGAAATGAGGCATATCTTAAGAACTGCACTGTAAGTTGTTGTGAAATGACTGAGGGGGATGGTCCACCACTAGTCTCCATAGATGGGTTGTTTGCCACAGTTTGAACTCTGCAGCCTCCCAAGGGCAGACCTTTTCATTTCCATTTGTTTTTAAAGGAGAATATTATTCTTTTATACTTGGAATATGATTGCATTTTTTTTCTTTTACGTACTTTTACTTTGTTCCTCTCTCACCTATATTTTTCCATCCCCCCACCCCACCTTTTCCTGCCAGTTGGCCACTGCTGGTACTCTCTTTTCAGTGAAGGTGCTCTATCGCGCCGTCACAGCGCAAGCGAGGGGATGAGAGACAAATCAAAACCACCTTATTTCTCCTCAGCCTTTCTCACCATGCCAGATTGAATTTGAGGCTTTTCATCTTCTTTCTCATCTTTCCCCCTCCCTGCCTCCCTTGGCGTCCACTCAGAATTACCTGGAACCAAACAGTCTCACAACTTTAACGCAGAATCGTTTATGCATGCTGAGGGAGATAGCGGCTCTGAGCTGTGATTCTTTTAACTCATTTTATTTCCCTGCCTCTATAATTTTAGTTAAAAAAATGGCCCATTCCAAGATCTATCCAGAATCCCATCTTGACTCTACCACTTTCTTAAGAATCCACCAGTATGCAAATGTCCAAATGGGTTTTGCAAGCTTCAGTGCCCAAATATAAACACCTTGAGTGACTTATAAAGTGTATTTATAGAATCTTCTCCTCACATTTCTTTGAAATTATAGTTAACATTTGGCATTACCAAATAAAAACTATGATATCTCTGGAAGATGTCAAATTTGTTTAAATTGAAGACAATCACATGAGGTATAAATATCATCTTCCTGTCAGTCAATTTTATTTAAAATCTTAAGGTTAGTAACTTTCCATTTAGCTTCAGTATGTGGATCTGCTACTAAAGCTGCAATGACAGCTGTCGGACAGATAGAATGTTGTGTAATTTTTAAAGCATCTGATAACCTTTAATTTTTTTCACTTTTCTTGCAAAGTCAATTAACTTTTTTGGAAGAAGAATTCTCCAGTTCCATGTGCTGAGGTTAAAATTGAGAAGACAGTTTTGCAGCTTTTGGTCAACTACGTTATTATTTCTATTATTTGTATTGTTTTAATTTATATCAAATTAAACTGGGGATGGGGGTTTCATATACACTAATGAAAATGGATAAATAAATAATGAAAAATTAAATATTCAACTAGAAAAAAGTGACAATAGGAAAAAAAACACCTATATGTTAGTGAACTTTTTATTTCTTTTCTTTTTTTCCCATTGCTGAAGTCCTGTGCCCTTTAGGGTAAAGTGTGTGTCTGTGTGTGCTGAGGAAGAACTTTACCACACACACATTATGTGGAACTATTTTAGGAGCTGATTGGGCCTGATTTCAGGAGTAGTCACAGGTTCATGAACAAGCTGATCTTATCTGAAAACCAAACCTATTGGACCACATGCTGCATTTGTAGGGGAATAATAGATATTTATAAGACCATATTCACCTTCCATCAGACCATTTAACATTTTGGAAACTTCTAACTGAATTACATGGTGCAGTGGTAACTGGTCCTGCGTGTTGATGTAGTTCTGGTTCTCTGAATAATTGTGTTGAATTTGAGGGCACCTGCTGCTGAGAAAAATGACTCTCATCTTCCATTCTGTTGGACCTACTCCCACCCATCCACCAGGCACCCCACCTTTTCATTTTCAATTATGCTTTGGAATATGAATCTTTAATAGGGTGATAATTGTGCTAGCATATTTGCTGTCACCCACTATTAGCCCAGATTAATTAGCCCATTTAGTTTAGCTTAAGAAAGTGTCTGGCTGAGGAATGGGGGCACTGATGGAAGGCGGATAGAGAGAAAGTGGAATCAGCACAATCTGTTCGCTATCACAATGCCATCTTTTTCCTGTGTGCTCTGGCTTTCTATGTGGTGTCAGCTTCTCTTCTTCGTCCCTCTAGTCTCCTTTCACTTCCTTTTTCTTGTCTAACTTCATGTGTAAGTTGGTTTCATCAGGCTGTCCTCAACAAAAAAAATTGGACTTTTTTAAAATGGTCTTAAACTGCTCCACTGTATATAAAATATGCTGGTCTGATCACAAGTTTTTACTTTAAATATAAAGCGACATTTAATCATGGATTCAAGTTACCCAATTTAAATGACTAATTAGGAAAAAAGCTAATGTCAGATGTTAAGTTTTAAAACTCAAAGATGAAGAAAACGTGTTAGTGAACTGTCAATGTTCGTATTCATATTTATGGATTCATAGTTGTATTCGTATGTCCACAATTCGCAAAACTCCCTTGTATGTGAGTTTGAGAAATTGTGTTGATTAAGATTGTTTTTGTGTGAGTGCGAATCTACAACTTTTGAGCGCAAAGCATTGTGAATACAACTCTGATTTTTACAACGATAAAATCTGAACTGCTGTGGACACAAATTCAAGTCAGTTGGTACGAGTGGAAAAGTGATGATTGACATTTTAGACTCACACTCAACCTCTCAGACTCCCATATAGAGCTCCATTTTTTGTACTAAATTTTTGTGGACATACAAATACGACTACAATTCTACAAATACAAATGTGTATTTATGAATACTAACTGCATAAATAACCTGCTTCTGTTTGGGATAAAATAAAGAATTAAAGAGAAAACACTATCATCAGTTTTATTTTTAGAAACAATTTTTTAAAAGATGATTTTTCATTCATCATTACAGAGAAAACAAACATCATAATTGGCATTTAGGATTACAATTGGAACATGCTGTAGACCTACAACGAATAGCCCTTTTTCACTGGTACCCACTCAGTTCTTCCTGGCATTACTTGGCACAGTTATGTAATTTAAGTGTTGCTATTCATCCCACTGATATTCATAGAAATAATAAAGTAATACGTTTGTTCTTTGCAAAAATTGTAAACAGACAGGGTTCTCCTGAAGAAGTCGCTTTCATGACTCAGTGGCCTGCAGTCTGCAGTCCGCTCGACTTAGCCACCTTGGAACCCCGGCCAAGTAGCTGCTAAAATTGTAACTGTTTGGAGTCCCTAATAGAAATGCAAAAAGTTGAGATTGAGCCAGGTTGTATTTAGGAGGGCCATAAGGGTAACGAGAACCTCTCTGTCAATTTTAGAAATAGTTACTGATTTGTATTTTTCAGACAACTGTTCAAAGATATCAGCAGTTTAACTCATTGACTGCCAGAGTTTTTTGAGCATTTTGACTGATTTTTCAAGAGCCACAGAATAGTTTGTGCTATGACTATGTAAACGCCGAGCACACCAAAAGAAAGAGTAGACTCTCTTCTTTCATCAGGAAAAAAAATTTTGTTTCTACCTTATTCCGTTATTCCTCGACTTGCGTCTCACCGGCGACATGTTCTCTTATTGCGAACCGTTACGTTTTTTTTATTTGCCTACAGTCTATGCTCATCTCCCATCAAAAGTGGCACTGCCACCTAGAGGGTCAATTTGTTAGTACATACTCTGTCTAGAAGCCTGATATTTACGGACAAGCTTTAGCAGATCGTCCCCCAAGCCACTCTCGTTGAAAAACATAAAAGACGTCTATAGACGTCTTTGGCAGCCAATGAGGTAAAAGATTACAGAAGTGCTAAGAGTTCTCTGTTTATCGTGAGTATATGAGAGGATATTACAGATTGTACTAAATCCTTTTATTCAATGTTAGCGTGAAAATATGGCTTAATGGAGCTTTAATTGTACCTTCCACCTTGAGATGAGGTGGGTGTGTGGGGCAGTGGAGTGACTTGGCCCTGTCACTTGCTCTATATCTCTCTGCAGGCAGTGGGAAATTAGGTGTAATCGTAGGGATATTAAAGTCACAATAGACTGCTCCTGCTATTAAGGCCTGTCAGCCCTGGCCTCCTCTCTCACCTTGATATCTCTCAGTCATTGAATATTTATATGCTTACCTCAGGAGCTACTTACACATATCAGTTTGTGCATTTTCCTTTGTGCGTGTGTGCTGGTGTGTCAAGCAAGAAATTTACCATCACGGTTGCTGCCCAAACTCTTTGAATATGTTTATGTTCATGCTCATGTGTCACCCTGTACCTGCTTATGATGTCCACCTTTCTGTCCTCCAAACCTCTAGGTGCAGCCGGGGCGAGGCTCCTCTCGGATCCGAACAAACCCGTCACCATGGATGTGGATGAGGAAGAGAATATGAGTGAGTCAATCCTGATCTTTCTCATTAGTTGACTGTTTTCCCCATCTGCGCCATACAGGTCACTGCATTTAAAGATCTGCCTGCACTTTTGTTTCCCTTCTTTCTATCTGCCTGCCTGATTGTCCTCGTCTTTTTCAATGTCGTGTAATCAGTGTTAAGCCAGTTTGCTCCATTTTATTCTCCCATGTCCAAGTATTTTTCTATTTCCTAACTCATTTAGTAAAATGAATTAACACACAGTACAGTTAAATTTTTAATGATAACCTGCAAATATTTTTCAGAAAATTCTTTTCCTATTTGTCGTCATGATTTATAAAAACAACTCCCAGTCTTAATATTTATATGAATACATTTCTGAAATTTTGGGAAAAAGAAAGTATCCCTCTTTCACTTCTTAAGTTTAGCATATTTGGAAATTATGTGTTATTTACTATGTCTGAAACTGAGCTGAATTCAACAGACTACATAAGGCCACTGTACATACTACAGAGGTATTATTAAAAAAAAAAAAAAGGCAAACTAAGTCAAACTGCAGAAGCAGTGTGGGAGAAACATGGTCCACCCTAAAACCTTAGCACCTGGAGCAGGTTTGCTGAATTCAATTTGAGTATGTGATCCCATCCTCTAAGGGGATAACAGGGAGCATAAACAAAATATAAAAAGCCACAAATGAAGTGCAGCGTGACTACTTCAAGCAGCTGCTGCTAAAGGTGGTTGTACATGCTACTGAGCCATGGGCTGCTCTTAGCTTTTTGCAAACTGCTTCTGCATTCCAGATTAGTTTTGTGAAATAAGTGATGATACCATGTGATATGTCATGCGCTGACTTTACCGATCACTGTCTAAACTTTACTTTAATGTAAACACATACTATGTCTTTTTTCACACACTGAAATAATTTCTTATGGTCTTACAGAAAAAAATGAAGTAGTAGAGTACAATACAAGTAAAAGTGAAAGATCCACTGAACCACGTGGTCCTCAGTGTGTGCTTCTTTTGAGACCAGTAGAATTTAATGGTCCTTGGAGCTCATTATTACAGAGAACTGTACAGTTAATAGCCTGAGAGCAGACGAAAGCATAGAGAAATACTGTACTCCAGTAGGTTCTGTTCTAAATAATTTACATGTGCCTTGTTTGTAGTTCAGTTGAAAACTGATAGGCAACAAATCCTTTTTTTAGAAATGTAGTCATTATGATTAATGGGCATTTAACATAATGCAGACCTACAAATCTGAAAGGTTCCCTTGATGACATGTTGCCCTACTGTGAAAAAATCATGTCTACTCAATAATGACCTCAGACAACCAACAAATTTATTTTTTCTTTTTTTCTTTTATTAGTTTTAATTAACATAATTTTATTTAATAATTTTGTAAAAAGTTTAACCTTGCAATTGAAAGAGGAATGCTTTCTTTTTCACAACTTTATGCCTTACCTTCCAGCATTTCTATCTGCTCCAGTTTATTGCACTTCAATTAAAGAGATATTTAGGATGACGATTATAGCCCTAACTTGCCAAACAATTAAAGTTCTTACTGTGGTGTCATAATTGCACTGAAATGTCAAACAAAAATAAGAATATCTTCTTTGTAGTCTTTCAAACCTCCTGAAGCGTTCCTCTTACATGTTTGCTGTCCAAACAGATAAACATGTAGATAGAGCACAGACCGATCAGAGCACATCCTGTCTCTTTAACACTTGGGAAGACCAGAGAGAAACATTTTTTAAAAATGTACTTTAATGTGACAGCCATAGCAGCTCTCTGAAGTCTTTTATCACATTAAAGAACCCCTACAAACACAAAACACCTCAAATGAAGTTGTATAGAGGGACTTTTTTATCTGATAGATTTTGCTCATGTGATATCTACTGGGGTGTTAGATCTGAGATCTGAGTATTTTTTTGTTATGTCTGTCTTCATTTTTTTCCTTTTATCGGTGCAATGCATAAAAGCTGATTACACAATATCTCGGCATGATGGTGACCTCAAATGCATGTGTGTGTCAAAATGTAATCTATAGTGCATGGCTTTTTCCTCTGATCAGATTCAAGGTTCTTGAGCACTACTAGATGTTCATACTCCAGATTTGTTCCACTCTTAAATTCAACGATAAACTTTCTATTGTGTATATTCAATAAATCATTTGCAATGGAGACAAGGAGCTCCAGATTTTTGTCTGCGTGCCATTTTACTGTGTTTATGCAGCATGCTATAAAATTCAATGGATGATTGTTTTATTTTTTTTATTTTATTTTTTTATATGTACATTTTTGTGGTGTATTTAATTCCCTCACTCATGAATTGTCATGAATAGATACTGGTGCAGAACATGAATGGAAGACCCCAAAAGGATATCACTTGAAGGAGAAACAATGAGCACCACAACTCTGCAAGCTATAAATTTTACATTTATACATTTATGTCGGAATGCAATTCCTGCTAAAACCCATCCCACTTTCAATGACAATTTATCAAGGATTATTCTGATTGCAAAGCACACAAACAAATTAGCTGAATGCAATCACAATTTAGAAAATATTGCATGTTTTCAGCTCATAAACTTTGGATGTGCAGTTTGTTTTTGGAATATTTGGAACAATTTCTGCTTTCTTGCCTCCAAAGATGTCTCTGGCAGTGTGCAGATGGCACTGGCATGGCAGTACATATTGCAAGTCGAAACACAGTGCTCTCTGACAAGCTCCATGATGGGATCTCAGAGGGGCAGGGTCTTATGAATGACATCTCATTAGAGTTCCTTCTTGTTGTTCTGTTTCATCGGTTTAAATGCGGTTTTCATTATTTAAAAACTCACGTAAAAGGAGTGAAATACATTGTAACCTTTCACCGTGTCACCAGTCCAGCCTTTAGGATTCTGCAGTAGTTGGAGTCTTCTCCTTCTGCCTCTTTGTGTACTCTCCTGTTTGCCTGGTCCTCAGATCCTCCCCCTGCACTACCCTCCTGCACTCCCTCAACCCAAACTACAATCCCACTTATGCACACTGCGGCCTCTCTTTCTCTCGAGTACCGCAAGGAGTAACCTATCAAGCCTTTGCTGAAGGATGTTATAAATGAAAATTTTTCCCATCGTTCCATCCACTTTGCTAACTTGAATCAGTGATATGTGTTTCCCCAGTACAGATTACTCCAACTAATTTGTTTCATGTGCTCAAATAATTGGTGAACATTTGAGCTGTTAAAGTTAAACTGAGTAAAAGATAAACCATCCTATTGGTTTATTTATGTTTCTGCTTATTTTTGTACTTTGTGCATTATTGTTTAAGAATCACAGCATTATGCAACCCTAGAAGTCAAAAGTTGTCTTACATGTGGGTTTTTTTTTCTTTGCCTAACTATTACAGCTATATTTCTGAAAATAGATTGAGTTTGAAATTTTTTTTAAAAACATAGCCGAAAAACAAGTGTTTAAATACCTTAAATGCTGGAATAGGTACACTAATGACTTTACTTAGGAAGTACATTTCTAGATGTTCCTTCATCTGTAATTTCAACATGCTATAGGTTAATATACTCATTTTAGATTTTTTTTGTTTTAAATCAGCTTTTCTTGATGCCATAAAGAACACAAATCATTGATTCAGTTCCAAAGAGTGATAAAGGAATCTATAAATTTTGCATTTACAAGATCCTGCAACGAAGGCGTTGTAAGTTACTCTTTCTGGGCACCGCAGGTTCAAGCAGCACAGAAGTTAAGGAAAACCGAAACCTGGACAACGTGTCATGCAAAGACGGTGTGGGAGTCGCTGATCAGCTCCCCAATGGAAGCGGCAGTCGAAAGCGCCCTTTAGAGGAGGGTAACAATGGCCACACACATTCCAAGTTCCGGACCAAGAAGCGTAAGAAAACACCAGGGCCGGTCCTGCCCAAGAATGCTCTGATGCAGCTGAATGAAATCAAACCAGGTCTACAGTACAAACTGCTGTCTCAGACTGGGCCAGTCCATGCACCAGTTTTTGTCATGACTGTGGAGGTCAATGGACAGATGTTTGAGGGTATGGGCCCAACCAAGAAGAAGGCCAAACTTAGTGCAGCTGAGAAAGCTCTGCGTTCCTTTGTCCAGTTCCCCAATGCGTCTGAGGCACACCTGGCCATGGGCCGAACACTCACAGTGAACACAGACTTTACATCTGACCAAGCTGACTTTCCAGACATGCTCTTCAATGGCTTTGAGACACCAGCTGCACCTGAAGAATCCTTCTTTTTGGGTTCCAATGGCACAAACTCATTAGGGGAGTATCCACTGCCCACGCCACCTGGCAGCAACCTTGTCCAGGCCCCTCTGCCCCCTCCATCTGCATTCAGCTCACCCTCAACTGGCAAAAACCCAGTCATGATCCTCAATGAGCTCAGGCCAGGACTCAAATATGACTTTGTCTCAGAGAGTGGTGAGAGTCATGCCAAGAATTTTGTGATGTCAGTAACGGTGGATTCTCAGACGTTTGAAGGCTCAGGGCGCAACAAGAAGCTGGCTAAAGCCCGGGCAGCACAAGCCGCCCTATCTGCTCTGTTCAACATGCAGCTAGACCAGACACCATCCCGGCAACCCATACCGAGGGAAGGGTTACAACTTCACCTACCCCAGGTAATTTTCTTCTTTAATTTGTCACAGAAACATGTAACATGAAGCTAGTGTTGTTACACATGCATTAGGAATTTCTACTTTCCACTGTGACCTGTGACAGTAAGGATTTTTAACAGTTTACTCAACCCACGTCCAACTCATATTACTATAGCAGCAATGCTCACTAACCCCGAACCTTAACCAATTAAATTGATTGTCACATTCAAGCTGAGTAGTATATGGGTGAAGCAGTATGCACCTTTTAGACTCCATAATTGCAGTTAGGTGTTGATACTATAAAGGCTATTAAACTACATTTTGTTTATTAGCCAAACATAAACTTCAGATTAAAAAAAATGTATCCATTACTTATTTGGTCAAGCTTAGTAGTTTAAAGAATCTTATTTTTGTTTTAGTTTTTTTTGGCAGAGAAATCTGAATGAGCTTTTTACGTTACACGTATCTTAACTCAACACTTTGGATCAAACAATCACATTCACATGCACACAGTCAATGTTAAGATCTAACATCCATTAAGATCAATGTACATTTGTTGTATTGATAAGATAATATTCATTCAATAATGAATATTCCTCAACGTGTCAGTGGTTTGGATTGTATTCAGTCTTATAATGAGAACTGAAAAGGGAAGTATTCCTCTGGAATCTTCTTTTGAGTTACACAAAAGTTGATTCCCAACTGTTCCACCTAATGAAGTCTGCTGTTTAACCAAATTATCCTTAAAATCTTATTTACATCAGGTTAGCAGGAACTAGCAGTCTCCAAAGATGCAATTTTAGAGATGAGTGCAAATATGTAACAAGAGATAACAGCCAGCAAAACTAATCAGCTTGACACACTGTCAACAGTAGTTTGTGATACCACGAAGCCCTTTCTCCTTCCTTTGCAAACTCACAGCTCTTGTTAACTGACTTTTTACAACAAGCAGTGCATTTTAACAATGGAACTTTTATTAATTACTCAATTAATATTCTGTTGCTTGACAATTAATTTCTGCCTGTTTCATCTGGAAAGGCACTAATGCGGAAAATGGGGCTGTTGCTTTTGCCACGAAAATCATTTATAGTTGGATGCTTTTTTTTTCTTTATTCACCAAAAAATATCATAGGAAAATTTCAGAAACCCAAAAGAGGAAATCCATCCGAATTGGGCAATTACTGAACAACATGTTATGATTGTTTTCTTTTTTTCCTATCAATATAAAATAAAAGCAATGGATGTCCTTGGCATGTGTGGTTTGGCTTTGAGTGGATGACTCTCAAGTACCAGGGAGATAATATTGGACTAATCTCTTTCATTTGTGATCATCCAACTGTCATCTCTTCTACTGGTTGTCATAATTTTCCATCACATTAGCATTTTTTAAAGAGCCAGTTTGAGGGCTGGCTGTCCAAGAAACAAAAGAAGTGTGAAGTTCATTTTAGGTCTCCCACACTTCAAGTACAACTTTTAAACTTTGTTGTATACATATATGAGCTATTTTTCTTTAATGAAACTAATGTTTAGTTAGTTGCTTGTTCATGTTTTTTCCCCTGCAATGCACTGTCAGTAGGGGGGAGATTGAATTTTTTCTCTCAAACTAAACTACAAACAGAACTACTTAAAAGATAGCAATGTTTACCTCAGGGGGTTAACCCAGTTTTATTTGTTACTGTTACAATGGTTTGACTCCTGTTTGAAGCTGAATGCAAACACTGTGACAGGTACATAATGCTCTTGAGATGGATAACATCAGACGTGCTTTGTAAACTGACATATCAGTAACACATTCATGTTTGTGTGCCACGTGTGTGTGCGTGTGTGTATGTGTATGTGTGTGTGTGTGTGTGTGTGTGGGTGGGTGTGTATGTGAAATTCCAGGTTCTGGCTGACGCTGTCTCTCGTCTGGTGGTGGATAAGTTCAGTGAGCTGACAGACAACTTCACCTCCCCCCATGCACGACGAAAAGTCCTAGCTGGAGTTGTTATGACAACGGGTAAGACAGTCTATCCTTTTATGTTGGGGAAATTGTGTTTGCAATCAGTATTATTCAAAGGAAAATACAGTCCAGGGGATTTTGACAACAGCTGACATAATGTGTACCAGTGTGTCCTATATAGAGCAAAATGTCCATGTTGCATGTTGGTGTTTTCCAGAATATGCAACGATTTATATTTTGTTTTATACCAAGATTAGTTGACAATCAAACTTGTTTATCGCTTTCTTTTTTTATGCCTCAACACTGCTATAGATATGTACTGCACTTGAATTTAAAACATAAAACTTATTACAATAGTATACCCAACTACAGTGAAAAACAACTAGAAATATTTGTTTAAGAAAAAACGAGATGCATTATGGCATTTTATCTTAAAACTTCAGAAATGATCAAGGTCTTTATACGACGTCTGTGACACACTTGGGTCCAAATACCACGGAAACCGATTGAACAGCTCACATTTCAAACATGTCTGTTCAGCTGTGTTCACTCCAGCTGGTTAAAGTGTGTGACTGATACATTCAGGTCAACTCCGTCCCCCTTTTGTTAAAATTGAGCTCTTTCTGGGATATCTTTGAAGTACCATGTAAATTAAAATGTATGATCCAAGGCAAATTCACCAATTCCACAAGTACATTATTTCTGATCGATAGAGCACTGGCACCTATTAGCTCAAACTAAATTTATTATCCATTTTGTCCAGTAAAATTTTTAAAAGCTATCCCTGTTTTAGGTCCAATATGGTCAAGACTCATGGTAAACTAGTCTATATAGAACAACCACCACATACAGGAATCCTTAAAGATAATCGTAAATAGTTATAATGGTTAATGATAAGTCTGTTCGATATTATTTTGTAATTGTTTTTATTTACCAAACCATCACATACAGAAATAGATGAAAAAAATACAGTCTTAAATCATTTTAAAAAATATATTTATTTCCATGCTGAAATAACATAGGAGGTTTTCTGCTCTCCTTTGCTGACACTATAAACTATGAACTCCACCGTGGCATGAAGAATCATAAGGGGAATAGTTGTCTCCATCTTCCAACAAAGAAGTCACATTAACTGATTGGATTCAGTTACGTTGAAGTTTTTGAGTCGGACACAAAAATAAATACTCAAGCGCAGATTTTTTTTCCCCCATGGCCCTTAATGACACATTTTGGAGGGTCATTACCCAGTATCTCATATCCATCCATCCATTGTCCACCGCTTATCCGGGGTCGGGTCGCAGGAGCAGCAGCCGAAGCAGGGAAACCCAGACTTGACCTACAGCTCTCACTGTAGGTCCCGACTTGATGAAGCCAATAGGACCACGTCATCTGTGAAAAGCAGAGATGCGATCCTAAGGCCACCAAGATGGAAACCCTCAACACCTTGGCTGCACCTAGAAATTCTGTCCATAAAAGTTATGAACAGAACCGAGACAAAGGGCAGCCTTGGTGGAGTCGAACTCTTACCGGAAATGGTTCCGACTTGCTACCGGCAATGCGAACCAAGCTCTGACTCCGGTCGTACAGGGACCTAACAGCCTGTAACAAAGGGCTTGGTACCCCATACTCCCAGAGCATCCCCTACAGGACTCCCTAAGGGACACAGCCTTCTCCAAGTCCACAAAACACATGTGGACTGGTTGGTCCTCCAGGACCCTGCTGAGGGTATAGAGCTGGTCCAGCGTTCTACGACCAGGACGAAAACCACACTGCTCCTCCTGAATCCGAGTTTCAACTTTCCAACGGAGCCTACCCTACAACATCCAGAGCCCTGAGGAACTCCAGCAGGATCTCATCCACCCCTGGAGCCCTGCGCGGAGATTTTTGATCACCTCGGTGACTTCAGCCCAGATATTGGAGAGCCCGAATCCAGATCCCCAGGCTCTGCTTCTCTGATAGAAGACGTGCCAGTGGTATTGAGGAGGTCTTCGAAGTACTCCGCCCACCCACCCACAACGTCACGAGTTGAGGTCAACAGCGCACCATCCCCACTGTAAACAGTGTTGGTGGGGCACTCCTTCCCCCCCCTGAGACGCCGGATGGTGGACCAGAATCGCCTCAAAGCCGTACGGAAGTCTTTTTCCATGGCCTCCCCAAACTCCTCCCACGCCCAAATTTCTTCCTCTTCAACCACACGAGCCGCATGCCACTTGTTCTGCCGATATCCATCATCTGACTCTGGAGTCCCACAGGCCGAAAATGCCCAATAGGACTCCTCCTTCAGCCTGACGACATCCCTCAACACTGGTGTCCACCAGCGGATTTGAGGGTTACCGTTACGACAGGCACCCACAACCCTGTGACAGCAGCTCTGGGACGGCACAGAACATGGCCAACTCAATGTCCCTGACCTCCCCCGGAATTTGCTCAAAGCTCTCCCAGAGGTAGGAGTTAAAGCTCTGCCTAACGGGGGACTCCGCCAGGCGCTCCCAGCAGACCCTCACAATACATTTGGGTCTGCCTGGTCTCACCGGCATCCTCTCCCACCATCGAAGCCAACTCACCACCAGGTAGTGGTCAGTGGAAAGCTTCGCCCCCCTCTTCACCCGATTGTCCAAGACATGCAGCTGCAGATCAGCTGAAATGACAACAAAATTGATCATTGAGCTGCGGCTTAGGGTGTCCTGGTGCCAAGAGCACATATAAACACCCTTATGCCTTAACAATCCGTGCCGAGCACAGACGTCCAACAACAGAACACCACTCGGGCTCAAGCTGGGGGGGCCATACCTCCCGACCACCCCCCTCCAGGTCTCACTGTCGTTGCCCACATGACCATTGAGGTCCCCCTGTAGAGGGGGTCCCTAGGAGGGGCACCTTCCAGCACCCCCTGTAATGACTCCAAAAATGGTGGATAATCCGTACTGGCGCATAAGCAGCAACAACAGTCAGCACCCGTCCCCCCACCCCAAAGGCGAAGGGAAGCTACACTCTTATACACCGGGGTGAACCCCAATGTGCAGGCACCAAGATGGGGGGCAACAAGTATGCCCACTCCTGCTCGGCGCCTCTCACCGGAGGCAACTCCAGAGTAGTAGAGTGTCCAACCCCTCTCAAGAAGTCTGGTTCCAGAGCCAGAGCTGTGTGTCGAGGCGAGACCGACTATGTCCAGCCAGAATCTCTCCGCCTTGCACACCAACTCAGGGTCCTTCCCCACCAAAGAGGTGACATTCTATAAATCAGAGTTAGCTTTGGCAGCCGGGGATCGGTCCGCCTATGGGCCTGGCTCCAGAGTGGCGCCTTGGTCACCCACTTCTTGGTGAAGGAACACTGGATCCATTTATCGGGATCTTCATAAGGAGTCTTTGGGCTGTGCTTCGTCTGATCCCTCACTTAGGACCTGTTTGCCTTGGGTGACCCTACCAGGGGCTTGAAACCACGGAAACATAGCTCCTAAGATCAATGGGACACTCAAACCCCTCCACCACGCTAAGGTGGCAGCCCTGGGAGGGGCATTTCATTTTAATTTTTTTTTAGTCAAAAAGCCCCTTTTCAGTAATGTATTTGATTATCTTTACAAGTTTGAATGCAAGATCATTACATCAAACAGGTAATGTTGTGTAATGTTTTCTGTCATTCCACCAACAGGGACCGATGTGAAGGAAGCACAGGTTATTTGTGTCTCCACGGGAACCAAATGCATCAACGGTGAGTACATGAGTGACCGCGGTCTGGCACTCAATGACTGCCACGCCGAGATAATCGCCCGACGCTCGCTCATCAGGTACCTCTACACTCAGCTGGAGTTCTTCCTCAGGTCAGTCGATCATGTAATTTTTTTAGATTCAAGCACATTTTATTGTTTGGCTTGTTGTGTAAGAAGCATGCCAAAACAACGATCTTTATTATATATTTTCTTAAATGTGTCATTTGATCTAAAAACATTAGATTATTTCCAGTTAAATAGCTGTAATGGTTACTGATGCAAATCTGCTGTTTGTTTTTTTTTTCTCTTCAAATTTGCCATTGCCCTGTTATCATATCAGCAACAAGGAGGAACACCAGAACTCAATGTTTGTCCAGTGTGAAAAGGGAGGCTACAAGTTAAAGGACAACGTTCAGTTCCACCTCTACATCAGCACCTCGCCCTGTGGAGATGCCAGGATTTTCTCTCCGCACGAGGCCGGAGTGGAAGGTACACAACAAGTTAACATGTTTGCTCTTGTCCTTATTTCGGTACACGTGTTCTTAATTTAAATCAGAATTCAGTCACAACAGCTGTTTATTTAATTTAATTAAATTCAGAGGTTTTCCTCTTATGCTTCATTTAATTTAATTAGAATTTTGCTCCAGTGTCCAAATAAACATTACAGACACATTTAAACAAGGCTCTAGTAATTAGAGTGTTTTGTCATTCTCTGTCTTCCTCTATCAGTCTTTCTCCCACCCAGCCCAGCCTCTCTGTCTGTCTGATTAACCTCCCTCTTACTCTTGTCAGAGTGCTTTCCTATGCACATGGCAGGCAGAATAGAAAACAGCCACATTCAATTAGTCACTCAATAGATGCTGGTGGAACAGCAGAAATCTTTGATAGCATAATGCATAAGCCATTTTTTTACCTTCTTCTTTCTGAATCACTACCTCACTGTGGAAGCACTCATATTTACTATTTAGTGCAATGTTGAACATTTCCACAATGAACATAAAGCGTGCATGCTGCTATTTTGTCTTTTTTATAGAAACACGTCTACAGTACAATGTGTTCCACTTGACGGGTACAGTTATGATAATTAGCAAATGCCTAAAATCTCAGTCCAATCTTCACAATAGAGTTATGACTGTAAAAAAAGAGGCATACATTTAGGACTCGTTTTCTCTTGTTTGATGGTGTTCATTTTTATTTTGATATGTATGTTTCAATCTGTTAATAGAAGGAAAACTCCCTCAACATTTGAAGACGACGAGTTTTCCAGTGTTATTTGATTTAAGATTTCAGGCGCTGAGTAGTTGGAGACCTTCTTTGTTATATTTTTTTTTACATGTTTACTGTAGGTTAAGTCAGGTCATTTGAGCAGCGTATTTCCAAAAAAGCTATTGCATGTCCTAACATATGCAGCAATGTCTTGTAGGAATGGATAAATCCATGCATATGTAGTCCCAGAACTGCACACATATTGCAAAATTACTATCACCTTCACAGATATTTTTTTGTCATGTGAATGAATCGACAGACAGTACAGATAACATGCTAATGTTAACTGTCTCCAGCATTTTTGAAAGGTTTGAATTCTGCTCAGGACCTTAAACAAACTCAGAGTTAGAGTTTGGGCTTGTTTAGCTTAACTTCCCTATATCTTATTTTACTTTTATTGTATACCATGAAATATGAGTATTTGAAATTAGTTTTTATTCATGTAAATATTTGGTATTAACTGCTGAGAAAGCTTTTTTTGTTTTTTATTCCTCGTTCATGTTATTTTTCTCTTTTTTAAGAGTGTTTTTGTTCCATGTGTGTCCTCCTCAGATCAGGGAGACAGACATCCTAACCGGAAAGCAAGGGGCCAACTCAGGACCAAGATTGAGTCAGGGGAAGGCACCATCCCGGTGAGGTCCAGCAACACCATCCAGACGTGGGATGGTGTGCTTCAAGGAGAGAGGCTGCTCACCATGTCGTGCAGCGACAAGATTGCACGGTAATTTACTGCAAAATAATTATATCTCAGTTTCATCTGTAAGGAGACCTAAAACTGAACATACAAAACACGAATTACGAATATGTAACAATAGATCTGACAAGAGGATTCTTCTAAAAAACACAGTTGCTACAGGACTAAAACCCAAAGCATTCCAAAGAGTTCCATCCTAAGATGTTTGGTGTCACTTTTCTTGCCACCTGTGTGTTAATGCAGTAGCCCAGACAGGACTAACAAGCCAAGGCTTTAAAGGAAGCCATACAGGTATTTCACCACTGTAGTTCAGAAGAAGCTGAGCATGTTTAGGGTTTGTTCGTTGAAGTTTCATCAGACGAGACAAACCACACTTCACTGGACTTCTCATTGGTTAATTTCTTTAACATAATATCACAGGTTTTATGATGCCTACGGCTCTTAATCATGCTTTGACTGTTACAATAAAAAAATAAAAATAACTGTCTCATTGTGCTGTATTTAAATGGTCTTTACAGCCTGGTGCTACATCCTCAGTTTGTCGACCCACTTAATCATTTCAGGTCTATGATTTTCTTCAGGGAGTGTCACAGAGGGAATTGATGGATTCTCTGTCTCTTGGGGCGTTTTTGCAGGCAGATCATAGCGTCTTTAGTCTCTGCCTATGTTCAAGGCGACACTGCTCTTCCCCTGTGATGAATGGTAAAGCCTCCCCATAACTTGTCTTGCCACCCTTCATCCTTCCTTTTCTTTCTCTGGCCAGAATAAAATATGCCTGAATACACTGTGGTGAAATGCTAAGCCTGCATTTAGTGAGGAACATATCTGATAACTTGAAAATGCTGTTTTTGTCATGTGAGAGGTGTTGGTGACTTTTATTTTTTTGTTGTTGCTCAGCGTAGAAGAAAATTGTTAAAGTTTTGAACAATAACAGTTCATAATCAATATGGAAGAAATCAGAAATTAGGTTATACCATTAAATAATTATGCTGTCATGAATATCACCTCCTGGATCGCACAGCTGATTGCATATCTTCCTAATTAGGCTTTTTCGTCACACAGCAATGACCAAATGCCGCCTGTTTCTATCTCTATGTGAATGGCTGTGCACCACTGACTTACACACTTTCACAATGCCGCAAAGTCTTCTCTCTTTACACATCGCTTTTGACTCTCTCACTTTCCTTTGATAGCATGCCCAGCCCCGTGGCATCACTGTTAACGAGCGCTTCTCCGCCTGGAGTCTCCTCTGGCCGGCTTTTTGACCGAACTCATTAGAAAATGGCCTCTTATGGGTTCTCTTTGCTCTCCAGTCAATCAGATGTGCCTCCCAATTTGTGTTGTCTCTGGTTTCGTGTGTGAGAGAGCTTGTTCAATCTGGGTTTGAATTTGTACAATGTGCCTTTTGGAAGGAAAAAAAACAAAAGAATATAGTGATGTTTGACAGGAAGGAAATTGAATGCCTCTGAAAACATAACTCAGATGTGTGCTCTTGCCTGTTTTGTCGCTCATGTCCTTCAGAAGGCATTCAAGTACGTTTGTGTCACCATGTTGTGGTGATGACACTGTGTGTTCAAATCTGTGTGGTTCAGTTCATTAAGGAGCTGTTTGAATGTGCAGCACTGAGCTATGCTTTACTGCTATTTAGTCAGAAATCTCAGTTAGCCTTCCCCTAGTTTCACACAGCTTTATAAACACTCTTCTGAAACACTTCCATTGCCTCCAACTTTACTAATGCTTTTTGTTTTTGCATTGGTGGATCATTGAAAATCCCACACTCTTAAATAATATGCCCGAATGAAATGAAAGGATTTGTTTTCGTCTTGTACCAGTGTGGCTCTTTATTAAAAATAAATAGATAGATAAAAAATCCCAAAATAATTCATTAGAAATCTATCAGTAAGATAATTGTTCAACCCAAAGCTTTGCATACCTTACTTTTCATTGGACTTCATTGTTTTTAAAACAAAATTAGATTGAGACAGATTTTTACTTTAGATTACTATATCCTTGATTCTTATCAAATGGAACTGCCATTGATGACCATTTAGAATCTTCTACATTAACACGTACATAAGAAATCACCATTGTTTTGTGTAAAAGTGCCATAGTTTAGAATTAAGATTTATGGGTACTTTTCATACAGGAAAAATATCCAATAAGATACACCTTTAAATGACTAAATTATGTTTTCCCGTGTTACTGGGCTGTTCTTATCATTTAAATTCTCCATTTAAGTTAATCTGCAACGTATACCTTTGATTCAAGTCTGAAACAGCATATATGCTCAGATTTGTCATTCCAAATCACTCATTTGCTGTTGAGCTGAAAGGCTGCCTTACAGTGAATTCAGAGATTTGCCTGGAAACAAGTTGAATATGATGTTAAAAAGATCAAATTAATAAGAGCCGTTTGTAGAGTTGGACTGTTTGAGTCAGGATTTTATAGCAGATATTAAATGATTTTTACATTCAGTCAGATTAAGTGAATGTAATGTTTTCTGAGAAATAATATTTTTGAATATCCTCAACATGTGTGTCTGATTGTGGATTGATGCGGCTAAAACCCATAAGAGGATGTGCACAGTCATCAACTCTTTGATGATCCAAAATATTTTATTATTTCTTCAAGGTCCAAGACATTTCTCACATGTCAGCCTGGAAAGAGAGTTTTTTCCTATGTCCCTTGTACCTTTAAAAAGAAAATCTATAGGGTTTGTAAAATGACCTTTAACCGAAAGAGTAAAAACTCCTGAAGGATTCTCAGTTTTTTTCAGAACGACCATGTGTTGATTTGTTAGAGATAAGAGAAAAGATTTTGAGCTAAATTGAAAGAATCCAGGAAAGTGAATGAAACCTAAGCCCGTAAGTCTTTCAGACTTCTTTCAGGCATTTTTCCTTTCCTCTCTTCATCACTTTTGCTTCTGCATTTTTCTCAGTTATCACCATTTTCCTACTGATTATCTTTCCATTTCTGCCCCATCTATAGCGTCCCCCGCCTTCACTGTCCCTCTCTCCTACTGTTTCTCTACGTCTCACTCTGGTGGGCAGGAGCTGCTTTACAGAGTGTGTCAATTGGAAAATGACTGGGGAGATGTGGCTAATGACGCAGCATACAAATACAGAGATGTTAGTAAAAAATAAAATTGGATACCTCAGAGTATACACAGCTGTGTGGATGTGTGTGATGCAGTACACAACTAAGGCTGGATGCATTCCTATTTATCCTGTGTGTATTCTTATGTCCATGATCAGTCTATGAACAATGGCTGAAGAATATTCTTTAAAGAATCTTTTGTAACCTGATTAACAACGGTGTTTTAATGGAAAAACATAATGTAAAAATATATGTATATCTCAGGTTTATTTTTTAGTCAGGACAAAAATAAATCTTCTGGATTTTCAGTGGGCTCAAATGAACAATGATGAATTAGATTGTATTTGTCATTTTTCATTCTAAAAAATTAAATGCGGAAGAGACCAGTTAAAAACTTCTGTCTACTTTTCTTGGGTATTAAAAGGATTGATTAAAGACCAACACTGTGAATTCATTTTGACAGGTTTGTTGATCCTCAATGAGTCTGAGCAGCTCCATTAAAGCGGACATTTGCTCAGTTTGCTGCACAATATTCAGGTGTGTTAACACAGTGCCAAGGATGAAAGACATCAGATGTGATTTTAGAGAAGCAATTGTTGCTGCCCATCCATTTGGGAAGGGTTAACAGGCCATTTCCAAACTATTTGGACTCAACAATTCTACTGAAAAAAAAATTATTCCCAAGTGGAAAAGATTTTGGGCATATGTCAGTATTCCCTGGAGTGGATCTCCCAGCAAGGACACCCCAAGAGCCTCATCTCTACAGGCCTCAGTTAGGAGGTTAAAAGTTACAGGTCATGACAGTACTGTTAAAAAAAGAACATTTCAACAGAACCTAGGTTTGAAAAGCTGCATCTGAACAAAGCTCAATACTTCTGGAGCAAATTGAAGACCTCATATCAATTTTCTGCATGGTGGTGTAGGTTAAAGATTTGGGCTTGTTTTGCAGAACCCTCTTACTGTCACCACAAAACCACCACAAAATCCCCAAAAAGGCATCACCTGGGTAACATGCATTACATAACCCCCACAAACCTTATTGAACTGATACTGGGTTTCTGTAAGATGAATTGTATTAGCATTAAATACTTTGTTCCTGCATGTTGATGTAGGTTGTGTTAAAGAGGTCAAGTCTGTTTTTTCAAGTAACAAATTCAGACCAGGATGTTATTCATGTTTTAAACGTCAACTGTCTGTTATAGAGAATGTATTGAATCTCTATTACATTTGCTTTAGACTGTGTATGAATTGGAAAATTCTAACAGAAAAAACATGTATCTTTTATAGATGGAATGTTGTGGGCATCCAGGGCTCCCTGATGAGCTACTTTACAGAGCCAATCTACTTCTCAAGCATCATCCTTGGCAGCTTATACCATGCCGACCACCTCTCCAGGGCCATGTACCAGCGTATTGCAGATATCGAGGACCTGCCTCAGCAGTTCACCCTCAACAGGCCTCTACTCAGTGGTAAGCAGTACTGGACAAAGTCCTCAGTTTCAGTAGTACTGTAGTAAAAGACTAATCTTACTCGTCAAATATTAGTCCAGTAACATGAAAAGTAGCTTTGTTAAAGTATTACTCGAGTTAAAGTACTGGACCATCTACTTTCAAATATACTTAAGTATTAAAAGTCATTTAAAAAAATGTGTCTTGAAAAAATATGTACAGTCCATTTTAATTGAGTGTCATCTAGAACAATTGGAAAGACTTTCTGATATATTGGAAAGGCCAGTAACTCCAAATGTATGCAATAACTGTAATGATGAATTAGCCTTTTAAAACACTTTTCCAGACACTCAAAGACTCTGTACAATTTAATGATTCATACATTCAGCATCATTATAGACCTAAAAAGATTCTTCCAGACCACCACAGTCACACTATTGCAGTCATACATGGGTACAGGTTGGGTCAAGTGTCTTGTCCATGGGCACAAATAGAGTGTGTGCTGGGGCATTTAATTACACAATAAGGACATGATTGACTGAAAATATATAAAACTATTTTATTTTAGATTAAAAAGATTTGTGCCTGATAGCATCTAATGTGAGGCTAAGCGGTCAAAGTAAACTCAAGTAAAGTACAAATTCCCCAAAACTGTACAGCACTCAAGCGAATTTACTTCAATACCTCTGGTGGTAAGACAAACAACAGGTAATCTGATAAGTTTGCTCTCTTAGAATTCAGGAAACCTGAAAACCAAATCCCAGCCGTGCAAATATCAGGAATGTTAATCCTAAACAGCAAACACAGCTATATGCCTCACTGGTCAGTCCTGCAGCAGGAGGAGCTTTTCTCCTTTGTTTGGTCTGAGCTGACATTTACCTTTTCACTGTGGAATTTGAATAGCTTTATTATTTTGTGTACATTTTCAGTATGTGCTTGACCTTTTCAAAAAGCCATATAGATCAACATTCCTGTTGTTTTCTTTTATTCAGCTTTCCTTTGATTTAATTTAGAAGTAATGCGTATTTCTACTCAATTCCTTTGATGAATAAAGGTTATTTCTAATTTCATCAGGCAATATATGCTAATTGACATGTCTCTCTATCCCACACTTTAACCTGCAAGATGTCTTTGATTTTTTTCTGGCTGGCTAGTATCAAATTAGCTGGGAGAACTCATGAAATCTCAAATGCCTCTTACAGCTGCATCTTTCATTGTTTTTTTTTGCTACTTTTTTGATTGTATTTAGGTTTCCCATAGATCCTAGGCTTTAATTTATAAACTTATAAGATTGAATGCTATTTTTAATTGTAATATCATGTTTGAAAAGTCTATTTAAATACCACAGTTTTTATGATTCAGTTTGACCTCCTCTGCTGGTGCCTTAATTCTAACTGTTTAATAGGTTTTTAAGCATTAGTGTATTATCACTACAAATTATCTCCATGTATTTTAATTTGGACTGTTTTGACCTCTGTGACAACCTTCTCTAGCAACATCTTAAGTGTTGCCCTAAGTAAATCAAACGCATGTCTTTCTTTTAATCTGAACTGTAACTAAAATACTCTTTGGATGGATAAAGCTAGATTTAAGAGTAAGAATTGACCAAACTTAAGTTTTTGTGTGGTGAATATGTTGCCAAAGAAATAAGGCAGACTCAGTCCTTCAATTAATTGACATTGTGGTCACTCTATATGCACTAGCTGACAAGAACCATCATATCATGTTCCCCTACCCCTTCGTGTCTCCAATAGTTGCTCTCCAAGTGACGGGTAGGGGAGATAATGGTAGGGGGTTATTAACCTTTTCCGCTTTACAGAGTTTTTAGCGGTGAAGGGCTGTGGCCTTAGAGCTTTGAAGATTTCATCCCCTCTAAATCATTTTCTGCCACAAGTGCTGCCAAATGGAACCAAGAAGCTTAATCCACTCTCTCTCACACACATACATACACAATAAGCAAGACACAGGGATTTATGGCGGTCATATATCTCCCATTTATGCTTTAGATACTGCCCTCCACCTCCAAGCTCTATATACGAAGGCATCTTTTCTCTCCTTTGTGTCTGACAAAGTGAAATACAGGAATTAAAAAAAAAAAAGGTTTGTTAAGAAATGTTGCAAACATTCAGGTGCAACTTCACCAGAAATGTGCATATTTCAATCAAATTTAGCCATTATATTTGGATACTTCAATCATTCATTAACTTATTTCAATAAGAACATGGGTGACGGTGTAAAATAAAAAAATAATGCAATCGTGTCATACAGCAAATGTGCTAGTTGCCATTGGTTTCATAGACACAAGTAGATATCAAAACCATCAGACAGGCAGGTTTTTGATGTTCATAAGCTAAATAGTCCCCTCATATTTTGCATGATCTGGTTTCTTCTTTAACCACTTTTTGGGATAGCAAAGTGACACAGACAGTGATATACACAATCGCCTGTTTTCATGTTTGCCTGTTTTTAGTGCAGCCATCAGGCCTAGATATCACAAGCATCTAATACAGATTTTTTGCCATGTCCTGTGCACACAGAGATGTCTACATATTTTCTGTGATGATTTTGTTGACAGAAGATGTTATAGATGTGTATATTTCTTAAATTTGTTTCAAATTATTAAATAGATTGTAGACTGTTGTTTTCAGAATGCATGCTTAACCTCTGCCCATCTTCAGAGAGACTCTGCTTCTTTTGGGTACTCTCTGGACTAAGATAAACCTAATTAAGAACATGTCCCTCCAGATATTTTATTTTTGTAACACTTAGTTTTCCAGCCATTGTTGGCCTTAACCCCTTTAACATTCTGCTCAACAAAATTTGTTAGAGCACATTTTTTCAGGGCCCCATTCAACATTTATGTTTTTTTATTTTTTTCTGCTGTGAAAGAAATTTGTCTTTGAGACTTTCAAACCATAGCAATATTTTGCTATTTATATTTTACATTTCTCTGTGACAGCTGGGAGACATTTATTCACCTTTTTCCATTTGCGTTATTGTTTGGAAAAGACGTGTAAAATATGGGCAGTGGCAGTTTAACATAAAAATGTCAATGTTCTTTTTTTTTTTTAACATACTGGCTTGGTAAACTGCTCTGTATTCATGACTGGTGGTTTCTGATTGAAGGTATAAGCAATGCTGAAGCAAGGCAGCCAGGCAAGGCACCAAACTTCAGCGTGAACTGGACAGTAGGGGACCAGGCTCTGGAAGTGATCAATGCAACCACAGGGAAGGACGACATGGGCCGGGCTTCACGACTCTGTAAACATGCTCTGTACAGCCGCTGGGTGCGACTGCACTCAAAGGTAAAGAGACACACACAGACTTTCTGCCAGCATTTACACATATAAAAAACAGCAAAAGTGCATCTTAATTCATCAAAGCTTCTACCCGGAGCATCTTGTCTGCATTACAGATGAATGAGGGTTTGGTTCAAATGAAAAAAAGGATAACTCACATTGGGAATAGCAGTTGAAATTCTTTGTTGTGGTGGTGATGAGGAGGAGGGAAAAATAAAGATGGTGATTAAATTAATCGATTTTCTGATGTGCAGGGTCAGTCGTCAAGAAATTATTGAAATAAATTAGGAAAAAGTGTATTTGAAAAGTGGAACATCTAGCATTTTATGTATGTCTAAAATTTAGAGTGAAAAGTCAGCTTATGGTTGGATTTCCGTTTATTTTTTAATTGCTGACGAAATAGAAATTAAAACATACTATGTTTTCATGAGTCTCACTGCTGTACATTTCTATACTGTTAAAAACATCTAAACCCTCTTTCTTTAATTTTCAAAGAAAATGTATTTGTCATTGTTTTTGCTTTATTTCTTACCTCCTTGTCTTTGTTTCCATCTCCTCCTCAGCTGTCCTCCGTCTTGCGGATCAAAGTGCTCAAGCCCAGCTCCTACCATGATGCCAAGCAGGCAGCCGCAGAGTATCACTCTGCAAAAAAGGCACTCATCAAGGCCTTTCACAAGGCCGGTCTTGGGGCATGGGTCAAAAAGCCGATCGAGCAAGACCAGTTCACTCTCAGCTCCTGAGGGAGTCCAGGGACCAATGGGTTCCTTAAGCCCCCACTCCTTCCTACCTGACCCAGGCCTGAAAGCCGAAGACCCCCTTATAAAACAACCAGGCGTTTACTTCCGTCCCCACGTGTTGGCAACGCATGTGCAATTTGTACTGCGTGGTTTTCAAACTATTCATAGCCCATCGTTCTCACTCCTCTGTCGACCTCAGCCTTGTGTCTTCTCGTCATATTGATTTTAACATTTTGTCTTTGTTGTATAGTTTTTTCTATATGTTTTTCTGTTTTTAAACTGGAAACACTGTTTTTATTTCAACCACTTAGTTGTTTTTTATTTCTCACAGAAATCCTGTCCCTGATGCTGTAGATGTCGAAGTTGATGTTAAACAGTTTTATCTTATTGACTGATGAGTGTAGCCAGTTTAGGGAGAAATGTAGCCAAGAAGCAAAACAATTTTTTGACTATAATTATTGTGTATGGACCTAAAGATATCTATATATACTTGCAAAAATTAAGGACTATGATCTTTAATTTAAAAAGTGCATACATTTACAATATGTAAATCTAGTCCAGAGAAGTGAACATAAGATAGCTATAACAGAAAATATGTGCTAACTGGTCAGTTCCATAGGATAAGACTACATGTTCTTAGCCGTAGTATTAAAGATGAAAATATTCTTAAATACCGTTGCCCTGTTTGATTCACTTACCTGAAGAAACACAAAGCAGGTGTGATAGCACTATAGCGCACTCTTGTTGATGTTTTCTTCTTACTTTCATTCAGATAATTTGTTCAGTAAGTTATTTTTTGTCATTATTGTCTCATACTTGAACAGCTGGGTGGGTCATGTGGACTCCTCCCCTCACCTGGGTCTTGGGACAAATTTTGGGAGGCGCTGCACGTTGTATATTTGTCCTTGATTTAAGCCATGGCTTTGCATGGAAACTGAGACTGAGAGGCTTGCAGAGCAGAATACATGTGATTGGGAAATCCATGCATCCATCAGCAAATGATTTTGAATGAATGCCAGCAACTTCCTCCACAGGCAGCTTTGAATCTTTGTCTCTATTTTATATATTTGTTGTGATTAAATGGCTCGGGGGTGGAGGGGACAGCTTTTCTTTTATTTCTTCCTTTGAGGGATTTAAGGTTTGGGGATAAAACAGTTGTTAAAATAGTGACAGAACAACAAAACCTCTCAGAACTTGTATTATGTGACTTTATGGCAGTCATCTATGATAATTTATTAATAGCTATTAATAGATGTGCTACAGTGGCACAAACAGTACAATATTTGAAGTTGTATTCACAAGACACCACATTGTATTCATCTGTTGTGAGTGTGATGCAAACATGTCATAGTTCCTCCACACAATCCTCTTTGGATGCACCTTCACACAAGTGTTTTGTTGTCCCCGTTTGAACAGACTCACAAATTGTATGCCACTAACTGTTGCTAGTAGTTTCCAACCAAATATATTAGTGTCATGATTGTCCTCCTCTCTTATTCCCAATACTTCAGAAACTAAGGTTACATTCACCTTACAGGCCACATTGTTAAATTCTAGTTCAGTAGTGATCACAACTGGGTTTTTGAAGGTGTCTTGTGTCCCATAAACATGACTGCCCACTGAAACGGCCCACAACAATGGAAAACCATTTATTGCACTCATGATCTTAGATTATGTTATGATAGTACATTTATTGATGGCATTCAAACACGTCACCAACTACAAAGGAAAATATTGTGATGGTCAAGAAAAAGTTTGATTGCTAGCTTTTGCTGTTTCAGTAACTTTTGCTTACAGTGCTGCAGTAGTGCTGCCAGGTTATGTTGTTAGGGTTATGTTCACATCAACAGGCTTAAAGGACTGATACTTGATTTTTCCTTAAGTTGTTTTCTTGTTTATACGACTAATCTTCATTCACACCCTGTTGGTGTTGGCTAAATTTCCGACACTAGGCTATGCAACATATGTAAGGCTACTCATTTTGGATTCCATGTGTTTTTTGTTGTTGTTTTGTAAATTTGCGTGCAATAAGTGTTGTTGTCATAAACCTGTAGTACTATTACAGTACGGCTGGCAGTTGATGGCAAAGGACAAAAGCTAGCAGTCAAGCTCTGGTTGTTCTTAGATTTTTAACAATTAGTTGCCATTTTCTGAAATGTGCTGTGATAGATTGAACTTCACAGTCACTTATGTCTAAATCTTATCTGCCAAATTTTATCACAAATCAGACATTAAATGATCTTGATATATACAACACATGCAAACAGCAATCTAATGCATATATGCAGCTGCATTCATATGAAAATCACTTGTACTTCTGATTGTTAATCCATGTATTTTGTATTTGATTAGAACTGAATGGTATGGCTGGTCATTTTGACACAGTCAGATAAGGATTTAAAAGTCAGAGTTCAGAAGGTTTTCTGCATCCACACAGCCCTGAAAAATTCAGACATGAGTCACAATGGCCAGCTAATGTGAACACAACCAATGTTTCATATTCTTTGTTAGTTCCCTGCATCTCTGTAGCTAATTAATGAAGACAATTTCTAAGTAACTGTAGTGAATTCCACTTCCAGCTAAAGGGAAAATGTGTGTGTGCAACTTCTCTGTGTGCTCAGGTGTCTAAGCATACTCAAGTCAAGTTTTCACCAAAGATAAAGATGCCCATGTGTGTTTAAGCCCTAGTGTTTTCCTACTGACCATTCTTTTCTAATATCTCATAAGTCTGCCATTAACCCTTTACTGTCAGTTTTTTGTATGCCCACACAATGTACTATTTCTTTGTACAAAAGATATGTATTCAGTTCCACACAGGGGGACGTGAATACTCAGGCTTCTCTAGTGGATTTGTAGCTGTCAGTGACCACATGTATATTGTGACTTGCAATCATCATCACTCCAATATAATATTTCAGTGTATATAAGAAACAGCAAATATCTTCTTCCATGTAAATCCTTGAAAACTGTTCAGATCCTTTCCTCTCTTGCTGGGATTGTGAAGACTTCCTGTTTATTTGTGGTTTTGTGCGAGTCACTGGGCACCATAAAGCATGGCACTGACTGCCAGGGTTAAAGTGCTTCATTCCCTTTGTAGCTCAACACACACACACACACACACACACACATAAAGAAGAAGAAAAAAAAAGAAACCAACAAACATGCACTGTTAAGTGTCTCAGCTAAAAGTGGCATCCACCAGCTGGCACTTGTGATGTCATATACAGTATGTAACTTTTTGACTTATATTTGGTAGTTTTTTGAGTCAGTATTTAAAAAGCAGGTATTGAGATGGAAGTTTGAAAAAATCTAATTTGGTGTTGAAAAAAATAGATCACCATGCAGTGATGCAGTTCCCCTAAGAGAAAAAGATCCAGACCAAAGTCACAAGCAATACCCCTGATGTCTCCTTTACTGTCAGCTCATCCCAACCAGGGGTCTGTCTAATGTTTCTCTTTCTCTGCTCCTCCAGTTTTCGCTCTATTCTTTTTTTTCTTTTGTTCAGTCTCGGCAAAGCTGTCTTGGGATGTTTTTGTGTATATTTCCCGCTTATGATTGCCTGTTTCTAAATACTTTTGTTATTTTGACTGCACTAAAGATGTCAACCAATGATGTCATGATTTGAAGAAAAATATGGTCCCGATTAAAGGTTTGGATGGATCGAACTCACAGCAAGAACTGAACTGCTGATGATGGCCTGTGCACCCTATCTTCGCAGGCGACGGGGTTGAAATTTTTGTTTGATTACCTCAAATTGGTCAGCTTTTGCCCGCTTTTTGCACTTGTTCTGGGTTTTTCTACCCGCCCCTCTCCCTCCAGTTGTCCAGCGTGTGCGATCCTCCACCAACAACCACAACCTTGCATGTACTAACAACACTGAAGCTGCACCTAGCATGACAAACTTTAAGAGGACTCTGTAGAAAAAAAAACTATAGATAGATATAAAATCAACAAAAAAGAATAAAAGAGTTCTTAGTTTACTTTTGGACATGGTTTGGATTTTTTTCTTGTCACGTCTCTGTGTCTTCATATTTTCTGTGCCTATGAAATGGTAACACAAGGAATTACCTAAAAATCACAAAAGTGTGAAAAGAGATCAATCTTTTTTTTATTATTGTTGCATCAGCACACAGGATTAATTTTACTGTTATGGCTAGCTGGTCAGATCTGAACTGCTTTTCATCCATTTTGTTGAATATAGGTCGCTCTCCACTCTGAGGCCAAGCCACTTTAGATAAATGTTTTATATGAAAAAAAATACTATTCCCATGTTAAGCATCATCCATTCAATTCTGAACACTTTCAGAATACCATGCTAATGCAAACAGATCTTTTGACAGAACACAAAATAACAATTTTGTTAAAAGGTTCAAGGTTTCCAAACATCCATTATCAATACCGCTTATTCCCTGTTGGGGTCGCGGGGGGAACTGGAGCCTATCCCAGTGGTCAACGGGCGAGAGGCAGGGTACACCCTGGACAGTCCGCCAGTCCATCGCAGGGCCACACACAGGACATACAAGGACAAACAACCACTCACACTCACATTCACTCCTAAGGGCAATTTCCCCAATCTCCAATCAGCCTAACATGCAGGTTTTTGGACTGTGGGAGGAAGCCGGAGAACCCGGAGAGAACCCACGCAGACACAGGGAGAACATGCAAACTCCACCCAGAAAGGTCCTGGTTCCCCCGGGATTCGAACCCAGAGCCTTCTTGCTGGGAGGCGACAGTGCTAACCACCACACCACCGTGCCGCCCCGGTTTCCAAACAGTGTCTTTAAATGTTTATTTATTTTTTTTCCTCTTTTGATTCCTAAATGTGATTCACAACTTTTTTGAAAAAAGTACAGATAGTTACAGCTTAATTATTTTACAGATTCCCCTCATGTCACCTAAATGCGGCCCAACAGAAAACAACAGACCAAGGCTTGATTGAGGACCATGCTCCACTCAACAAGAGGTGTCTGTTTCAGCCATAATATTATCAGATTATCCCTCCTCAACATGCCAGGAACCTACACTGTGCATTTTTGAGTACTAGTTGCTTTGTTCTCTAAACATTAGTTTTTCCAGATCTGTCAATCATAAAGATCCTCTTTGTAGATCTTCTTTGTCTCATACATTGTGCTATATTTACATAATATACCCTCACTGCTGTTCTTCTGAACGCGCCAAAATTCTGTGTTGCCTATCTAAATAATGCCTTTTGTCAATGTCCATGACCTTTTTTGGCAGGTGTGCTAAGGTTGTGAATATTTCAAGATGCTGTTCTAAAAATGTAATTTGATATCAGTTTATATTTTATTCATGGTGAGATTCTCTTAACTACCCTACAAATTTAAACTGCTCACAAAAAAAACATTTTTATGATTAAAGTTTTTGTGTGGGCTCCGCTAGTATTAGCGTTAGAGTAAGCGTGTCTCTAAAATCCAGGTGTGTTTTTAAGCATGAAGAGTTTAAAGTAAAAACATAATAGTTTTCAAATTTTACACACAGTATTTGGTTTATCTCTGTGTCTGCTCAACATCCTAGTGGATACCACTATCAGATCAATAATAAATCACCTGTGGTTGTTTAAAACACAGAATCTCCTCAGGCTCATAACTCCGTTGACGCTATGTAAGCCCAAAAAGCAGATTCAAACTGTCATCTTAGGTGATTTAGACACACCTGAAAGGCTCTGATCTTCAATTATGCAAAAACCATCTGCTGTTCCTTAACCAAGGTGGTGCAGCAAACACACATTTTTGTCATCACATCCCTCTATCAGAATTTTCTGAACAATTCACTAATTTTATAAGTTTCTTTTACCAAATCTAACGTTTAAATACATCAATCCTGCCTTTTTTAAAGTCAGTGACAGAATATGTCTTGGGTAAATTTTTCATCCTTAACGTTTGCAACAAAGTAGATGGTATTGTGTCTTTCTCGTGAGCAAAACAGCAGCAGAACTACCCTAGTTTCCTGTTGTTATTTTGTAATTTTTTTTACAATTTGTAATAGATACATTTTTCTGTAAGGATCAAGTTAATAATCAAACAAGTTTTTTGTATGAGAGCTGGAGCCAAAACTGAGCTTCACAAATGTGGAAACAATACATACTAGACAGCAGTGTAAACAGCAAAGGGTGGTGAGACTCTCAGGCCGCAGCAGCAGTGAGACGGTAAGGGAGAGGGCAGCGGCTTGTGCCCCTGAGAGAAATGGCAAATCATTAGCTCTGGTCCAGGGGTAAATGGGAGCCACACTCCTCCAAGGCCCACATTTCCATTTCAATTTTCTGCTCAACAGACTTGATGTATGTGGCGAATCACATGGCAAAACCAGTCTTCACCTCAGCTAGCTCGAGCCTCCTGTCATTTACAGGTTAGAGTGTGTCTATGACCTTGCGTGTGTGTGTGTTTTATCAAGTGATGTCACCAGCTGACTTACTTCATTCAAGAGATCAATGTAGAACATATCTAGTGTTTATATCAGAAACAATCAATTAGCTTTTTTTATCAAGTGATATTATGTCATGTGATATGAGCTGGCAAGGAATTAACTACCATGTCAGATGCTAGATTTGACTAAATGGATAAAGATGACAACATACCCTCAAACAAGAAAATTATATTCTGATTTCCATGGGGAAAACCGCTCACAAAAAGCAGTAGCAAGTAAAGTGACAGAGAGCACAATGGAAAGCTGCTACCTGGTTTGCAATCCCAGATTGAATAAAAAAAATCTAAATGCTTAGTAAAACAGAAGCATAAATAATGAGTGTAACGTAAAATAGTTTGAAGACATATATATGCTGCCACATCCAGAAAAGGACATAATTAGTTTCACTGGGACCAGCAGTGAAGTCTGGCCAGCTGTCCCTGAAGTCACAGTCATGATTGCACTGACAACAGGGTTTCAAGACTCATACAAGTAGTGCATTTTTCACACACTATTCTACAGTGAGTAACATAAAAAAGACTATATTACAAAAAGCTGTATTTTAATTAGTTTTCTATCCTACCAAAAACCTTGTCTTTAATCTTGTTAACAATACCAGAACACGTTCTATTCAGGTATGATGAGAAACCTTAGTAAAATCAGCCATCAATAACAAGCCTGCAGACTTTTTCTTTCATTGTATTGCATATTAAGGTCAGACTGATATTTTCCAAATAGAACATTATTTGGGGTGGGTGTATAGCTATTCTTCATTCTGCGGATCAAATTGAAAATAGAGTGAGAGTCATGATGAGAAGTTCACTCGTAACTAGCAAGCAGGGTCAATTTGTGCCAAATTAAGTGATATCTCGTCCTGAGCAAAGCAATTGGGGTGAGCTACGAGATACTGCTACTCAGATACTCCACGATTACGTGTAAGATTAGAATAGCAAAGGTAAAATCTTTAAAATGCAGTTTCGGGGAACATATAGGTATTTCTATAGCAGATTATAATGGCCTAGAGTGGTTCTCTAACAAATTGTAGCCCGAATCTGGGCCAAAATTTGAAAAAGAATGACCATGAGGTCAGCAATAATGGATGCATTAAAAAAAAAACTGCTAGAGAAGTTTGTTGAATTTAACAATATACACCCAGGGCTGAGATGTCACTATTCATGACTTTGGCCTCCAGTCCAATGCCATATTTAGCTTTTTAGTAACTTTACGTTTTGGGGGGATTTTGATTTTTACACTACAATAAGTTCAATGGTTGTTGGTGTTTAGAAATCTGTGAAAATTTGTAGGTGAAAGCAGTGTTACATCACACTAAAAATGGAGTATCTTAATATGGAGAAATTAGCTAATATGTCAAGTTTTACTAAACAATTCAGAGTAAGTCATTGTGCATACTAATTTCAGTTTTTATGGGTGAAATACTGTCTGAATAAGCTAGTTATATGTTTTGTTTTTTAATCATTGCTCAACTCGTGATTTTACAGCTGAGATTTGAAAATCTGCCTGGGTCAAAACACCCCATAGCTTAAATGAAGTCTCTCAATCCACAGTCAGTAATTGGTAAACCATCTCTTTGGCACCATGGTACACTGTAAATTACTCAAAGGTAATCCAAATTGTCACTGTATGTGAGATGAATGCAGATGTGCAAAGGATGAAGAAGAGAGTGTCAAGAGGAGACTTAGCTTATCTGTGAGCTCAGGCCGTTTTATTTTCAGAACAGCTCCTTTCTGATGAAGACTCTTTGAACCTGACAGCATAATTAAAATAAAGAGGAAAAAGCTGACATTTGCAAATTGACCTTTCCGACTTATGTGGCAAGACTGGCACCTTTTTCTCCAGATAGCATTATAATAGCATTCTTCTCATGTGTGAATGGGTGTGGGTATGTGTGCTTGTGTGAAAATTGTGTATTTAAGTATGTGTTTAAGTCCACTGTGTGTAGGTCACTTAATAGCTCTATATGCAGAAAGGCAATGTGTATTTATGAGTGTGTTGCAAAGAATATATGAGGAGGTTTATGGAATATTACCCCGTCATTTCTTCATTAAGGAGCTGTTTTCCAGTATGCGGGCACTATTTGAATAGCTAAATTGTCTGAGCAATGTGCAAACAAGGACTAACAACCATGTGCCCTTGTCACTGCCAAAGTCAAAGGGAAGATCTCAAAATTTGAGTGTGTGTGTGTGTTAAATGGTGTGGGGAGTGACTATTACCCTGTTAATTTGATGGTTTGTGCTTTGTTTTTAGTCGCCCATCTGTTTTGTGTGTTACACTTGTAATGCAGCAAAAATTCTGAAAGATCTGGATTACATATTATTTAAATTAGAGTCATACAAACTGGTTTTAAAGCAAGTGGTTTGTTATGAGTGTTTTTGCTTTCCTAATGTGATTCAAGTTAATCAATCAGGCCATACTACATTTTTGACATAGGCAAGTATTGTACTGTATGCACAGTTATGCTGGTCCGAGTCTGGATTGCATCCATATTGACTGAAAGGCACAGACATGAATCTCAGAGGAATTTAATCTAACACCAGCAGAACTAAATGAACAAGCTACCATAACTTTGTCCATGTATCATCATTAGTAACTTTTTTTAGTCATAACCACTGAGAAAAAAATCAATTGAAGATTGTTTCTTTATTTGAGGTAAGGATTATTTGAATAAATGTTTCCTTTTTCTCCAAGCTCATGTTTGGAAACATTACATATTCAGTGTTATGCATTTGAATACTTAAACCAGATGTTAAAGGGGGCAAACGTAGGCTGACTTACGTACTGTAGTTTGGAGATGAATGAGACTTATGTTCGTTATGATGTTGTAAGTGCTCATAATAGTAACATTCTCTTCCTATTACCTGTAAGGTCAATATATGCAGGATATTCCAGTGTTTGTTGTATGAACAACCTATTGACTCATTTTGAATAGAAACATGTAACATGCAGCTTGAATGCTGATGTTTCAGTATTGGTAATCTAATGGTAAATTATCACTGTATCAATGAGAAAGGTGAACATTTTCATTTAATGCTTATTCTGACTTTGGTGCACCCATCAGGACTTTGAATTGAGCAGGACTCAGCCAGTATTTACATTTGCCATGGAAATAAAATAGAATGAGAGAAAAGTACTTTATTTATTTAGCCTAATTTGGGAAAATAATACAAATAGTCAAGTACCTTAAATTAGATATATTTGAAGTTTTCATATTAGAGAAAATAGATATATAAAGAATAATGACAAAATAAACTTTGATCAAATTTAATAGATAAATAAAATAAAACAAAATAATCACCAGAGGAGAGCTGTTTTAATTGTTCGGTAGTGCACTTGTAGTTAGTTATAGATTATTGTTCATCTGTGATGTGGATACACCTGGACTAATCTGTTGTTGTAGAATGTGCAATTAGTTAAAAACATAGACTGAGACTTACTTCAACATTGATCCCTACAATAAGATTTCCGTTGTGCTTTTTTAAGTTATTTTGCAAGCAATAGGCTGGTGCAGAATTTGCCGGCACTTGTTTAAAACTAATTTGTGTCTCTTGAACAATGATCGCTGAGATATGCAGCTTCCAGATGCTTTGAAAATGTCTGATAACTCCCCAAAAATCCCCATAGATGAATATAAACAAAAAGTTAATTTGTTTGGTTACATGATTATGTGACAATATTCTTTTCATTGAAAATGTACCATCAGAATGTTTGCAACACTGTTATATGCTTTACTAACTTATCTAAAACTAAATTATTCCAGTCTGACAGGATGGAGAAAAGTAATCAAAAGAGACTGCAGTATTTATGGAACAACCTTGTGGTTATAAAAACACAAAAATATTTGGGGTTGAGGATAAATATATTATCAGAAGTAATGACAGTGTCGACACTTGCAAGCATTTACACATCATATGGAAAATAAAGGTGTTCAGAGACAGGACTGAGATAACATAACATGGGATCTTTGACAAACATTCCATGTTAGGGAAGACCATTGTGGTGATAGTATTTGATTCAGATATTATCCCTTGGTTTTTTAACAAACAATTAACAAATTAAATCTCATATAGATCTGAATAATGCTTTAGCCATATTTCTTGAACACGACAACACATTTTGGAAATGCTTTTAGAAGCAGAATTTGCATCACAGAGCGGAGGGACAGCACTACACTGAGACGAGAGAAGGTAATGCCACAAACAAGATTGAAAGTCTACACAGAAACACATTATTTGTGAATTAATGAATGTAAAGTCTGAAACCTATTTCCAAAAATATTATTTTTTTTAAAACTGTCAGAGAAATAATGAAACTCTTAAGACTTGAAAGTGAAAGACTACGTACTGGAAAAAACTGAAATAAGCTTCTCATGTCTGAGTTGGAGTGGAGAAAAGAGGAAAAATACCACAGAGGTGTTCATAATTTCTTTTGAAAGCTCTTTTAGTACATGTAAGCAATATTCTGGAATAAATGTTTTTGACCCAATTCAGAAACAAGCTAAATGTAAAGGTTTATGGTACCTCAGCTTGTCTTAGTCTGTGCGGGTTTATGTCTGCAGCATTCCAAGTTTTTTCTTTACAAACAGCGGAACAAAAATGATTAAATGCAGTACATTTATCTGAGCTTTGAAAACAGAAAGCTGTGTTTGGGTTGTTAGTGGCAGTCCAGCTGTTAAAGTCATCTCACATTTGAGATAGTATTGCATCTGTCAGGCTTCAAGAATTGGAACTCATTTTGGGAATCATTTTGAGACTGTTGAATATGTTAAACTATTTTTTTTTAATTCAGTGTTTATATATATATATTTCTTTTTAAAAGATTGGTCCATTGGTTGATGTGAAAAATAAATTGAAAATAAGACAAATAAAATAGGAATTCATTTATTTTCTGCAAAATAAGTAACAAACCATTCTCCTTTGGTATACTGCCACCTAGTGTTTGAATCACACCACTATTCATCTGATTATAGTCTGCTGCTCAGTCTGAAAATAAATTATCTGTTGTTATTAAACTGAAAAAACACCCCCCATAAATGTGGCATTTTATTTAGTACGATAGTTGCCTTATGAAGTTGTTTTGGAGAGCTGAAAAACTCTGAGGATACATCGTTTTCTCTTCTGATACTAATCTTTACTTTAAATAATTTCCCTCTGGGATTATTAAAGTATTTCTGATTCTGATTCTGATTCTGATTCTGACTCTGGTTTGATTCTAATTGTAGGTGGTGTTATATTGTTAATTAACAATAAAGGCTTAAGGAAGTCTTAAACTGAGTAATCACTGCTGAAAATTACACAATTGCCTTAAATATATTAGAATTTTTAATTTGAGGTCTGAATTTTTTAAAATTTCATTTCATGTAATTCACACAAGCTTGAAGTTTGAACAGCCAAATACTGTAATTTATTTTGATGATTTGTTTTGGTTTTGTATGTTTCTGAGATGCAAAGCCAGGTTAGAGTTCACTGTGCAGCAGTACTTTGGCTCTCTTCATGTTATCAGCCACTGTTGAGAAGAAAAGGATACATGAGAACAAAGATCACAATTTTCTGACAACGGAGTAGTTAATGAATATGGATATATAAAATGCAAATGGTGCTGCTGTCTTTCATTATCTTTTCACCCGGTTCTATTGAAGTCTCTTGATGTATTGACAAATCTTGAGATTTGCTTCAGTACATTTTGAGGCTCATCTTTTTGTTTGAACTTAAAACAAAACAAATGCAACACCACACCAAAAACTGTACCACCAAAATAAAATAATTTTTGAGATTTGAACAACTGATCATTTCTAAAAACCATCTTACCTGTTAGCCACGTTCTGACACACATAAATATATTTCCATACAACAAATCCTTAAAACTTGTTAAACATAGTAGTTATTTACTTTAAAGCAAATTATCTTGAAGACACCATGTAAAGAAAAATTGAGAGAATTGAGAAGAATTGAGTGAAGGCAACAAACATGGTTGAGAAGTCTTACAGTTAATACAAAAAGTTATTTTTCACCTTGTTTAAGTGAAGATGCAATGTCCACTTTGTAAAGTGAGATATATTTGTAAAGATATTATCAGCATTTCTATGTAGTTTGTCATTGTCGCATAAATAAATAAACCAGATAATGTATGAATGTAAATTTGATCCCCTGTGCAATAAATCATAGTTTATAAAGATAAAATCAGACAGATTTACAGTCACTGATTAACAATCCCCTCATTCCAGCTTTATTTCAAATTACAAATGAATTATCCAAGTTAAGTTAGCAACATGTTGATATATCACCTTGTCTGCCCACAGTTTAGGTATTAACATCTGCAGTGTACAAAAAATGGGCTTAAAAAGATAGTTCGGGCTACATCTGTGTTTAACACGTCATTGTTCATAATGTTATGGGTGTTCGGTATTCATTTTGCCATTCTTAGGTTTAAATTTTTGCAACGTTAGAATTTCATATTACATTTATTTTTGCAGCATTTAAAACTTGGTTAAGTCATGGTCAGGGAGGTTAAACTTCTCATGTTCTTATGTCTAATGAAGTGAAAGGCAGGAGGGAAAAAAAACTGGGTTTGCAAACTGTCAGTATAAGTTTTTTAGTTACTCACAATGTTCCATGTCGTCAGGCTCGTAGGTGTAGAGGTGGTTGCTGTACTTTCCTGCAATTTCTGTCCGCACAGTCATTGAAGGGTCTGTGGAATGACACACATATTCAGCTAAAGAGAGAGATCAGCAAAATTTTGATGGACTGTACTATGTTTTGCAAACTGTTCACACTATCTGGCGGCAATCGTCCCAAGTGGCTAGTTTTGAGCATTTAGAATAAAGAGGTGAAAAAAGGGAAAAATCAGGTCCAATATTTTCCACAATACTGATGAAAATGTTCATTGCTTGTATAAAAAGGAGTCATTTGTAACAGGAGTTTCAATGAATAAATAAAAAATGTTTCAATTCCAATTTGGTCATAAAGCAAACAAATAGGTATTTTGAGATATTTTAAAAACTATGTTTCTTTGCCTAGTTTGAATCCCTGGGGAACTGCGAGGTATTTCTGTGTGTACTTTGCCTGTTTTCCATTGTATATGTGTGAAAATATTCACCAACAAAGAGGATACGGGGAACGTAGTAGCCATCAGGTGCCAAATTTGGGTCTGGAGTTTCTTCCTGGAGGGAAATACAGTGATTGATGACATTTAGACTTGTATGTGCCAAATTAGGGGGAAAAAATACTAAAAGTATTAAAACAAAGTAATAAAAGCTGTAGAAAAGAAAACATTATACATGGCATGAAAATACATGCTTGATTTAGCCTCATTACATTTCTTTTATCTGATCTTCTGATTTTAACGCGTTGTTGTTTCTACAGCTATAAAAGAGGAATATATTTTATCCACATATATAACAAATCTTTCATTACCACGAGGTTGAGCATGATGAAGTCCCCTTTGGCCATGTTTTGGATGGTTTTATCAGCAGCAAAAGCGCTCTTCAGTGCTGATACAAAATAAATGTTTAGTATCATTGGTATGTTGGCTGGTTTTGTAGTTATTACTGTAGCATTGTGCATGGTATATATACACATATAGTATACATGTATGCTATAGTGTATAGTGCATGATTCTTTTTTGCATTTTGTAGTTCATTGTAGGTAGGAGGAATACAAGAAGTGTGATTGAAGAGAAAACCATGGTCTAGATGATATGCTAGTTTTCTTTTGTCCAGTGTTCTTTTTCCCCCCTGCCTTGATACACAAAGTAACTGAGGTACCTTGACTGTGTGGGCAGTTTTCTCGATGATGAATGACCATCAGCGGTTTCTGACTAGAAAAGTGAAACAACAGCACAATCCATCACACAATGAGCCCACTGATCAGTGTAGATGCAGTCACAGATCAAGATTGCAAACGAGTGATAAAGAGAAATTCATTGCTTTAATGGGACAAAGATGCCTTCATGGGATGAATTACTCTACATTTCTGCAGCAGAGAATTAGCTATTTTAACAAAATGAGAAGAAATCAATCAAATATCAGGAATGTCATGAAAGTCTTACCTTTTTGCCATTTTTGACAGGCCCTCATCATAACTTTGGACCCATCTGATATTGTTGCCCCATCCTAAAGCAAAACACAAAAACATTCTGCTACAAAAAAGACACACTGCTTTTTGCTTCAATTATATTTGAAGACTTCCTCACAAGCAGAACTTAAATGTTCTGTGTAATGATGAAACTCAGGTTAAAAAATAAATATGAATCTTTGTTCCAACAGATTTAAATCAAATTTGTAAAGCTAAAATGGCGCACCTCTTGAAGGAGAGAGAGATGTTTTCTTCTTTTTCTTTTCTCCAGCACTGGTAACAATACCAATTAGAAGAGCAAACAGCACCCAGCGAAACATCACTCCTTGTCCTGAGAGAACCACAAAAACAGCTGGCTATTTCAGAAGAGTCTCAGTAATATGCAAATTTTACAACTTCATAAGCAATTGTGGTAAAAGTTTACAAGCAACTGACACCTAATCCAGACTCACAAAACCAGTCTGACAGTTATGATCCATGGCAGTTGGATCCACTTGCACACATGATAGAATCTCTTTATTCAACAATATAGCCTCACCTTAATGAACAAAAAGTAAATAAAAGAAAGAAAAAACATCATGTGAGCCATCACAGAAAAACAACAACAAATATCTAAATTGCTGAAACAAATATTCACTTCTTCAATGTAGTGACACTTACAACAACGGCAATTAAAAAATAACTGAACATAGTACAAATCTGTTTAGTAAAGCACAAAAGAGAAGTTTCAAAAGACAAAAGGCTGAGACCAAAAGATTGGAGTTATCTGGCACAGGGAAGGTGAACCTAGCGAGTTGAAATACAACACTTGGAATAGGCTATAGGTGTGTGCCAATGGGCCGCACCTACCTATATGCCTTCATGGGTGAACTAACAAACTGAAAAGAAACAAACCCAAAAAATCGTAACACAACACTGAAAAGCCCAGGTTTCTCAACGCAGGACATAAAAAGTTAAAAACAAAGTGGCAGTAAATGAAAAACTTCTGTTTTCAAGTAAAATTGTACTGTATAAAGAGTGTTAATGATAATCATTTTGTGAATAGTAAATAATGACAATGTAATAACTACCTTTTTATCATCAAAATGGAAGAATAAAGTTTTAACTTTACCATTTGTGCTTTTTCCAATGTAAAAAATTGTACACGTAATTTTCTGTCAGTAGAAACAAATGTTCTAATGTGGGATTCGAGCATTTATTTGGCAAACCATTTATTATACTCATTTTCAGGTTTGAATCAGGCACGTTTCTACTCTGAAAGATAATATTAGAAGTCTCTAATGCTGGATGTCTTACCGTGTCAGCACGAAGCAACAACCATCTGTGCCCTCACTCCTATTTGCATTGACGTTTTTAAAGGTTTTAACTGAACTTGACAAACTGGTATATCACTTTGGTATGCTGTGAATAAAGAGACATTGTCCCTCACTGAAAGACATGCACACCCAACCTTTAACCACAGCCCAGTCACACCTAACTTTAACCTCTGTCCATGCGTAACTGCAATTGCAAATACATTCAGTTTCATTTCAAAGATGTTTTTTTAACAGACAGCACTGATTTTTAAAAATCAGATTTTTTATAAGCTTGTTTGGGTTCTGAAATACTGTAGTGACTAGTGGAAGCTCTTGAACATTCGCTTAAATGAGTGACTAGGGGTCATAACCACTTACCAGTATTCCCTTTTTATCTTTCTCAGGGTGCAACAAGCAGGTGGATTGCAGGCGGCTGCAGCTCCTTCAGGCTCATTAACGAAGTTGCTTAAAAGAAAGCCAGCTCCCTCAAACAGATGCTAGATCGTTCTCTTACCGGTTGGAAAGCTGTTTGTTACCTTCATGATGAGTGAGCGCTAGTCTGTCGTTTTCCTCCCCAGCTTTTCGATATTAGATGCTCCATACAGTAAACAAGCTCCTTGTTTACTTGGAACCCTCAAGCTACATGCCTGTCCTGGTAAAGATCAAAACTTACCTGCCTTAGTGCTGACCTGCTTAACTGCTGAAAGAGAGATATTGCGAGCCATATACCCAGTACAACAACCAAGTTTCTCATCCTGTAGTGTGATCATCTCCTCCTGGATCATCTGGTCATGCAGCACATTACTTGTTCCTGAGAACCAGATTGAATGCCACACAATCTCATTATGCAGATAAACTTGTTGAATCGCTCCCTTTTGGCTGCATAATTGTTGCTTGCACCAGAGTCTGGCTGGGCAAACATGACACCAGGAGCCATCAAGAATGGGCAGGCACCAGAGGGCAAAAAGAAGAAAGTTTTAATAATTCATTGTTTTGATTATAATTTGGTGTACACTCTGACTTTTCGTTTAGTAGGGCAGCAAAACCACTTTCATATTGGAATTACTTAAGGTCAATTATTCAGCTAGGACCAGACTTTGATCCTAGTATTTGTTCAGGCAAAGTTGGTGTTTTAACTGGAAATGGCGATAGAGGCAAACCCTTTTGGGATCTCAAATTAATTTGACTTTGACTTTAAAAATATATATATTTCTCCAAAAGATTACTCGAAACTGACAAATCAAAAACATTATTTTGTTATGATTAAAAATAGATTTGACATTACATTTATTCACTATTCAGACCAGGTACCTATTACTACTGCATGGAAGATATAGCAGTAGAGTCCTCCCGTAGGATGCACGTTTCAAGATTTGTCATTTGACTCGACACAAGCATTTAAATCAACTTGGCATGAAGCTCTGTGATAATTGCATTTTTTCTTCTCAAAATGAATTTATCAGGAAGTGCACGTGTTGAAGCTTCTAATTTGGACTTCAATGCGTATGGGTTAACTTTTTAATGCTTTAATTTAAAGTGTACGTCTGTCATTAAAATATGCTAATTTATATTTCCAACTTGGTTTCTCGCTGGTAGCTGTCGTTATGGACACAAAAATGCTTAGCAACTGCAAGCCCTCGGCGCAGGCGCAGTCTTAGTCAGTGATGCACTGTGGGATTGCGGACTATTGGCATAGCAACCAAACGTTAAGTGTTTCGCCCCGGATTAGTTTTTGCCTGACTTTCTGCAGGTAAAGCAGTTAGCTTTATTTTTGTACCGCTGCCATGAATGCGGCAGTGGTGAAAAAAACCCAGGACACGTTGGGAAAAGTGATAAAGAAACCTCCGCTGACGGAGAAACTGCTCAGCAAGCCGCCGTTTCGATACCTTCACGATATCTTCAGTGAGGTGAGCCCGTAATGCTTTGTACTACAGAATGTCTAGAAGTTACGCCTGCCTAAGTGTTTCTTAAAGCCAAATTAAGTCGTGTTTTTACTGGAACTATATTATTTTAAAAAACATAACCACAGGATACACTATAACGGCTAATAACTGTAGCATGAGCTGAGCTAATTAAGTAAATCATCCACCATTATACAACATTGCTGCTTTTGCCGTTTATATACTCAGTCTGCACAAATGTTAATCGTAAAACAAGTACAACAGTGTCACCTCTAATCAAAGAGTGGCCAATGCTTATCGATTGTCGAGCAAATGTTTGGATGCCGATTAAGCCAGTACAGTGGCTAGCTGCTAGCTAATCATACGAACAGCATCGTCAGTTGCTAGGCACGACCTGAGCCCAGACAGGGATCAACAAACAAACTCAGACCTCTGCTGCCTTGTGAACTATGTAATCTCTTTATTTTAACTCACTTTGTCCCGTTGACACCACTGATGACGAGCAGCTTTCGACGCTTGACAGTTTGATAATAGAAAATATGTTGAATGTTGTTGTTTAACAGCGTTGCTGTCCTTAAGTTTTTAATTTTCAAAGCAAAACGCAAACGACGTTTTGTAAGGTGGTTACACGTAAATGACAAACCTGGCTTCTGGATATTGACAATGAAATTGAAATGTATAATTGTTTATTTTCCTCAGCCTTTTTCAAAATTAGCTTATGCAACTGTAACATACAATTAAGCGTGGATAGCTGGATCTTTCATCGTTACAGTGTGTGACATAATTGATAATGATCACGTTTTAAAAATGTTATTTCATAAAATGTTATTTCAGAGTTGCATCTGACTATAATAAAACCATGCTCCTCTTCTGTTCTAAATATTTACAGCACTTTATCGACATACATAAAAGAAACTTGACATAAGTTGTCACATAGTTTAGATCTTTTTCATTTTGTCAGAAAGAGGTGAGAACTCTTTCTCACACTCCACTGGTTGTGCTGTCTTATGTTTCGCTTAAGTGTAATGTATATTTGATAGAGTAAAGCATGTGCGACTCATTTACTCTGATTATTGGACTGTCGGAGTCAGACTGTAAAAAAATTGCTGTTTCGGGCAGACTGTTATTTTCAGTTATATGCAGACACGAGACATGTTCCAGTCTAACATGGCAACGTGAAATGTTTGATATTGTTATCCTGTGGCTGATTTAGTGTTACAGATGGCATTTAAGTGTACATTTTCAAGTTTAGGTATGAAAAACAGTGAAAAACAATCAAACTGTGTCTCTTGCCACTTTTAGGTAATCAGGACCACTGGTTTTATGAAAGGGCTATATGAAGAAAACGAAATGAAGTCAGATAGTGTAAAGGTAAGGACACAATGATCTGTTACTTCCAGCCTTCTACTTCATGGGATGGATAGTATGTTTTTCCTCAGTATTTTTTGACACGTTCATTGGACTGCATATATATTTCTATTTTTTGTGTTAAGAAGCACCCTTGTGTGTTTAAGATAACTAATGTGTTACACTGGACAGTCTTGGAATTTGTGTGTGATGGGTAACTCAACACGCAGCCTGGATGACACACTGAGTGAGAAGGTCTGGGGGTTAATGACTGAAAGCGTTTGTGAAGGTGTCAGAACTCAGGTCTGCCCTTTGCAAATTGATCCCAGATTAAAACTGAATAGGAATACGTAAAATGCATCAAGTCTTTACCACTCCAACTCTATTTCTGTACATCCCTCTATCTCTTCACTGTTGCCATTGTTGCCTCTAACAGAGCCTGACATGCGATTTTCTTCTAGGTAGCTTGTTGTTTGATTGATGCTAACTGTAATGTTATATACATTGTAAGTCTGCTAAACATAAGTCTTCTCAACTTATCTTAGACAAATACTATTGTTCATAACTCAGTCACCACAGATGCACTAATTTATTCTCTGCATTGCCAAACTGACTACATGACATGGGAGACAAATGTTATTGATTTGTTTATCTGCTCTTAATGCTCATTATAATTTATTGGACAAACAAAAATATGAGTCCAGGGGCATATTTACCATAATGTTATGTCACATCTTGTATAAATAACCTGTAAACATTTGCGAAGTGAAGTCGTTACTGCATACAGGTAATTCTAGCATGTGTTCAGATTGTGTTTTTTTTTGTTTTGTTTTTAAGAAAAAGATTGTTACAGATGCATACGGTAGTTTGGAGTACAACATTCCAACTCTGTACTCGCATGCCATCAGAGATGTGGGCCCTGTATGCTTGTTACACACTGTAGAATTATGTTTTTATTTTTAAACATTTAAATTTGATGTTTTGTTATCTCATCAATCCCTTTTTTTTCTTACCAGGACAAGGACTCTAAAATAGCCTATCTACAGAAAGCAATAGATGTGGTGATGTTGGTTAGTGGCGAGCCCCTGGCTGCAAAGCCTGCACGAATTGTCGCCGGCCATGAGCCAGAGAAAACCAATGAGCTGCTGCAGGCCATCGCCAAGTGCTGCCTGAACAAGGTCTGTCTTACTGGGATGTCACACACATACACAAACTAAAAATTTAGATTAAAAAGACTGACAAAGTTACCTTTAACTTTATTATTATTTATTATTATAAAGTTACCTTTATTATTCAGTTATGTTTCTTTTATACTGGAGCCCCTGTTTTTTCCACAAGCTATCTCCAGGATTTGATTTTCTCTCTATCAGATGAATGTTCACAGCTGAATGTTGTCTCAACATTCATCTAACACAGGGAGACAGTCAAACCCTGGAGATAGAAGAAACTGAGCTGATATCTCAGAAACGCATTTATTAAAGAGTATATAAACAGCTCTTAGTGTTATGAAGTAATGCCTTGTAGAGTGGACTTCCATAGTATTCACCATATGCAGAAGGGGCAATAGGAGTCAGGTGCATTGCGAAATGGTCCGCAGCAAAGGACGGGGGCTTCGGTGGTCTGATCCTCGGCTGCAGAAGCTAAATCTAGGGACATGTAGATATAGTCCTAGATAGATATAGAAACAGTCTCACATTGATGCACAGCTTAAGTTCCGGAACCAGTGTCCTTGAGAAGGGTTGGACCCTCCTTCACAATGGAGTTGCTCTGAAGGAGTCCTATAGGGAGTACGGAGTACTAGACCCTCTTGCCCTGTATGACCAGTTCCAGACTTTGGTCTGCATTGCCAGCATTAAGTCAGGTTTGTTTTCAGTGAGGGTTGGACTCCACCAAAGCTGCCCTTTTCTTCACCGATCCGCTTCATAACTTTTATGGACAGAATTTCTAGGTGCAGTTCAGGTGTTGAAGGGATCCGGTTTGGTGGCGTAAGGATTGGATCTGTACTTTTTGCTAATAATTTTGTTCTGTTGGCTTCATTGGGCCAGTATCACTGGAGGGATTTGCAGTCGTGTTGGAAGTCGTTGGAATGAGAATCAGCACTTCCAAATCCAACACAATGGTCCTCAGCTGGAAAAGGATGGAGTGTCCTCTTTGGGTCAGGAATTAAGTCTTTCACCAGAGGAAGGTATCTTATAGTCTTGTTCACGAGTGAGGGAAAGATGGAATAAGAAATTGACAGTGAAGTAGACCCTGCATAGTTTAATGTGGTGTAGAAGCAGCTGAGGCAAAAGGCAAAGCTCTGAATTGACTGGTCAATCTGCTTTTTTATCCTGAATTATGGTCATGAGCTGTGGGTAGTGACTGAAAGAATGAAATTGTGGATACAAGAAGTTAAAAATGAGTTTTCTCTGTGAGGTGGCCAGGCTCTCTCATAGAGATAAGGTGAGAAGCTCGATCATCGAGGAGGGGATCAATGTAGAGCCGCTGCTCCTCCACATCAAAAGGAGACAGATGAGGTGTCTTGGGCATCTGGTCAGGAGGCCTCCTGGACGCCTCCCTGGTGAGGTGTTCCAGGCACGTTTCCCCCGAGACAAGTCCCGGGAAAGCACCAGGTCACACCGGCAGCACTATGTCTCTCGGCTGGCCTGGGAACGCTTCAGTATCCCCCACCTGGAGGAGCTCAAAGATGCGGTCAGGGAGAGGAAATTCTGGGCTTCCCTACTTTGGCTGCTGGCCCATTAACCCGACTGGAATATCTTGTTGAGGCAATGCAGTGACAGTGGAAATGGTCAAGGTCTTTACAGCCATCTTGCTTGTGGGATTTAGTGTATTACAAATTGAAGTAATATGAACTTTTTTAATTGGATTAGAATAAAGTGGATTGAAGGGTTTCCCTTCTTTTGATGTCTAGATGTCCAGTGATGAAGCAGTGAAGAGAGTGTTATCTGGAGAAAAGGTGGACTTGAAAACAAAGGCCAGTGCCTCCAGGTCTCAGGGCAAGGAAAATCGGGAGGGACGCGAACGTCATCCAGATAGAGAGGTAAGTCTTCTGCAAGTTGTCACTACAATTCATTTTCTTCTGTTGTGCAGTGGTCTTTGTTTGGATTTAAGCTTTGCATGTTTCTTCTGCATGAAAAAAATTAAGGAGAAAAAAAAGATAACGGAGCGCAGTGGAAGCCGGGATCAGAAGGATCCGGATCAGTCCAAAGAGCATGACGTGCGACGCAGAGATGGGGAGAAAGAGCAGCAGCGTGACCGTGAGCGCTCTGACAAACACCAGCCAAGTGAGCAGGAGCAACACACTAAAGACAAGAGTCGAGACCGGGAGCGAGACAAAGCACGAGCCAGAGATCGGGACAAGGAGAAAGGCAGAGAAAAGACCAGAGAGAGAGATTCTCACAGAGATCGAGAGAGAGACCGGGAGAAGCGGCGAGACAGAGAGCGGGGCAATGATGGGGACGAGAGGAAAAAAAGTGGCGAGAGTGTCAATAGAAACGTATGTAATTTAACCTCACACACATCATGCATTTTGGCAGAAAACATTTACATGCAGTGTTTTTGTCTTCAGGCCAGAGAGTCAGAGGAAGCACAGCAGAAGCCTGGTCCTGAGGAGCTTAGCAGCAAAGCAGCTGTGCCAGTGGCAAGTCCAATCTTTTTTAGTATGATCTATCCATCATATGATGACCATTACTTAAAGTATGATCCGGCTGCACCTAACCCAACGTTCCAACCAGCTACTGGTCCACTCTATGGTTATCTTCCACCTTGACAATTGCAATGCTCTTGTGATTAGTCTCCTAGCCTATACTGTAAAACCTTTACAAATAATTTCAGAAGGCACCGGCACGTCTGGTCCTCAATCACCTCAAAAAGTCCTATGTTACCACTCTTTTCATTGAGCTTCACTGGCTACCCCTAAGAGCCCCCATCAAATTTACTCGCTGATTATAGCTGACAAAGTGCTTAAGGGTACAGCTCCCATCTACCTGAACACGCTTGCAGAGGCTTATGTCACAACTAAGTCTGTCCGGTCGTTTATCCGTGCCTATACCACGCTTAAGACAATACTCTTCATGAGTCATTTTAGATGGTTGAATGACATACCAAGATCTACAGGGGCGTCCCTTTCTATCTCCAAGAAACTCTTGAAGACTGAGCTCTTCAGAGAGCATCAGCTAACCTATTTCTTAGGCTGTACCTCCCCACCTCTTCTACCACTCTTTCTGTACTTCCCCCTACTTTCACTGTTACCATTGTTGGCTCCAGTAGTTTGATTAGTGATTTTCTCCTAGGTGTCTTATTGTCAGGGTGATGGTAACTGTAATGTTGTATCTGCATTATAAGTCGCTTTGGATAAAAGCATCTGGTAACTGCATAAACGTAATTTCTTGTTTTTTGTACTTGAAAAGTCAAACTTGGTCTTTCACCATTTCTGATGTTGTCCCTCTTACTTTTTGCAAGGAACCAAAACCAATTGAAGAGGTAATAAAGCTTGGAGAAATTATCAGTAAACCTTTGGTAGTCTAGTGCGTAAGTGGAGTTATGCTGTGGCTTTGTGGTATTTTTAAGAAAACTATTAGTATCTGGGTTTTGTCGTGAAACTGTCTTTAGCTGTTAATATGATGATTTAGTGATTTTTCTGTGAGGGATAATTTTGTACTCTGTGTTCGTACAGCCCACAGAGGTAGTTGAGAATCAGGTAAGAGCTTTGCCTTAAAAGTAGAGAAGATACAGTCGAACGCTTCCTGCCCTAAATGTATCTGTGTGATGCCACTCCACTTCTATCCTAATAATATTACTTAATTTACTCAATACAATCGGAACATCTCTATTATGTGTAACAAATTTAGCTGATGTGATGAAGAAGCCTAGTAAAGTCATAATGGTTTCTACTCTAAAAGAAACAGAATCAGGCATATATTGAACACACACAACAATTGCATGTGTGTATATTGCATTAAAGGTCCATATGTCAGCTGCAGCACAGTTAGGGTTATTTTGTATATTTTTTTAGAAGTGGAATGGCCATTTCAGAGATGAAATGCTGGCCTTTGTTGTGGGGTTAGTAATATTTACTCACACATAACATGTCATATTGTCATAATGGGAGCCCTTAGAAAACATGTTATTGTTCTGTCTCACGGTCTTAATGATCATCATTCACTTATTGTACTTCTTTAAATGATTTTGTCTGATGCTTTAGTGAGCATTCATATCACAATGTTTATTTCCAAAAAGATGCAGCCTTTGCTTTCATGTTAGGCTAGAGCTAGTAAATCAATCTTTAGAGCATATTTATTTGTGCCTGTGTATTTTTGACATGTATTCAAATTTAGTGTGTAAATTGCTATCTGTTGAATCTAAACTGCCTTTAATCGTCTACTTTTAGATTGATCAAAAGTGTCTTACAGGAGAGAGTTATGGAGTTATAATCTCAGAGTTCAAGATGTTTGCAGTGTGTTTAAACCTCCAGTCCCTATTGTCCTGAATTTTAAAAAAACTTTTCATTATTTTGTAGCATGAGAGTCCAGCCAGAATACCTCGTCCTTCATCTGCAAAAGGTCAGAGAAGGCGGCCAAAAGTTGGAGGTAAAGATCCTTTCAGCACCGCATTCTATGTTCATTAGCTGTTTTTGGTCATTTCAGTGTCACAAATGGGCTGAAAGTTCTGGAGGAAAAGCAGTCAGCAGTTTTATACTTGACTTTATGTCAAGGTGCTCCTGGGCGAGCGTCTGAAGCCCATGCTGCCTCTGAGTGTCTGTGAGAGGGGAAAAAAAAAGCATCATCTCTTATACTGTACAGAGTGAATGAGTGAGTGAATGTGGTTTGTGGTATAAAAAAACTTTGACAACTCAACCATAAAAGACAACTGCTATGTAAATGCAGTTTATTCATCATTTAGAGGATAACATGATGCTATTGAACCTCTTATAGGGGGACATTTTATTGACTTCAAATTTAGTTTGTAGTTTGTGGCTTTCTGACACTTCTATACAAAAAACAACTATTTCCTTAAGAAAGTACATTCTTCTAGTGAATCAGAAGTAATGATGCGTCATAGGACAGAAATTGAGATAAATTCTTTTTCTTATTAATTTTACAGAGATACACAGTCTGTTACGTCCTCTGTGTTCAAACTGCGTACTTAACGAGTTACATTACTCTGTGATAACTTCTGAAAAGATTAACATTGATCTTTTCTGCCCTAAACAGACGAATCTGACAGTGATGGAGGTGAGTGGTCTCCCAATATTCAATGTAGAGAGCCACATTCAAAGTTTTTTTTTAATCCAAGAGTATTTCCTGTAGAAACGAGGTGAGCCTCACAGAGGCTCTTTCTGCTTGGTATTCAGTGCCTTTTGTGCAGAAGGTCAGATTGTTTCTTTGGACTCAAGTTAATCTATGTTGACAAATGAGTGAAGTAAATCAATGATTTATTACAAGCACGTTGTTCGTTTAAGCAAGAAATATCTATTCAACATTATTTATGAAGCTCATCATTATAGACAGTATGTCTGTAGACTCAGTGATCTACCTCGGTGTCAAAATTCTGAAAGCTGAGGAAAGGATTATGGTCCTCACATGAATATAGCTTTGACCACAAATCTAAACTATAAAGTTATAATTACATAATTTTTTTCTGTATTTTTAATTTTCATATCCAAAGATTTTTACAGACTAGTCAAGATCTCCATATGGTTCTCTTTAATAGCAATCTTATAATTAGAGCAGCACTGGTCTTCCAAGAAACTGCAAGCTAAACCACTGCAGGTCTACAAAGACCATATTTTCAGATGTTGAGTAACTTACTATAAAAGACATGCAGGAATGTAGGCACTGTATTATGATTTTATCACTGCATCCTGGTTACTCGGTTTATGAAAGGTGGACTGTAAAGCAAATTTGTTAAATGTCAGTATTTGTTCCATGAAGCATGAAAATCCACCGTGCCAATGGCGTTTGCAGTTACTCAGTTATCTGAACCTGAACACTCATCACTGCTCTCCTTTCACAGAAGGGGATGCTCGGATAACTCAGAGACCTGTCCCTCAGGAAAACGGAGACATAGGAGGATCATCAGAGCCATCTGACATGGCTTCCAGGTCCGTACAGCTAAGACTTATCGTTCTTATTTATTTGTCCCATGCATGGAAACCAAGGTCTTCACAGTCTGACCATCATTTAAACAATAATCTATCCTCTTGCTGAAGGCTAAATTGCTCAGTGTTGCGGATATATGGAAAACCTCAGAGGCATACTGTATTATCACATTCTTGGTGTGTTTAAAACGAACTGCGGAACATGTTTCTTATCCAGTAAGAAACAAGCATAGGTCTTGAACTAAGATTGAAAGTTTTTTTATTTTTTATTTACTTGACATGTATGCATTTATGTGCATTTTATATGTATCATACAGCACCAGACGAATGGCGCGGCCAAGCAGTGCTCGGGCGGCGCCTCCTAGAGTCAAGAGACAAGAAAGTTACACCGAAGCGACGCCAGCTGAGAGGTGACATCGTCATTCACATTTACTCATGTCACTGATATCAATCCATTATTACCACCTCACTTGGGTCAATTCATACTTTCTGTTTTGTCTAGCTGATCAAATGGTCCTGTTTTAAAGTTGAATAAACCCCATATTCTGTTAAAGTATAGGTTGGGCAGATTTCAAATTCAGGCTTTTGTCTTAAAGGCTGCTGAGTGCCAAGCTGCTAGCCCCTGTCATCATGGATGGGAAGAGGCTGTCTGAGGATGAAGAAGATGAAGATGAACAATTTCTCGTTGAGGAGGCGATCCCTCTGCTCACAGATGCTCCTGTAGAGAGAGTAGGTGACTTAAAGATCGATTTTAAAAATCAGAAGGTTGAAATGGTCACATCTTATTTTTCTTTTATTGCAGGGACTTGAAAAAGAACTAGACGGTGAAGAGAAACATGGTACATGGTTCAGTTTCTTAATTTGATTTTCTATTTTTCCTTCATTTAAAAAATGCGTTTTAAATCTTTTGCAGATTTGTCTGTTTTTGTCAAATTGCGGAATTCTCCTGATTGTATGTGAAAATACATCTTTGGTTAATTCTCTCACTGCAGGCGGCCTTGTGAAAAAAATTCTTGAGACGAAGAAAGACTATGATATAGCACCATCTTCACCCAAATCTAAAGAACAGGTATGTTTCAAAGAAATTGGTCATTCCTTACATCTCCACTAGAGGGTGGTATTGGCTAAGCTCTAAATAATGTTAGTTAAATGTTGGTAAAACCCAGGGTTTTGTCTCTATCTGCTCTGTTAGACTTTTCTGTCAGAGAATACTTTCACCAGAGTCCTGGCTTTTGTCAAAAGGAACATGTAAACAAATGTTTTGAGGAGGTATAATTGCAGCGCCTTCAAGCCTCAGAAAATTTCCCCTTCACTGAAGCTGAAAACCTAATAACTAAACAAGCAAGTGTGGCCCCAAACAGACCACAAACAACCAATATGACGTTTCTGGAGCAAAATGACTTTTTCCTATGTTGCTCAATATTTTTGTGTTCTTAATAGCCTTTTCTCTAAACAGGGTCTGATAGTTTTTATTTATGCGCACATATGCCTCCTGTTATTACTGATTAGTAATAAAAAAAGTGCAAAGCTTGTATTTTATGTAGTCATCACGGCAGTCTTTTTCTGTGAATATTCTCTCTCAAACTGAACAGGTATATTAGGGACCCACGTACTACTCAGGCTTCTTCTTTTTCCTCTCCTCTTTGTTTTCTCCGTTATATAACACGTGATTGACTAATTGTCTGAACATGACATTACCTCCATTGCTCGTGACTTCTCTTTGTCTACACATTTATCAGCTCCAAAAGCACTCTTTTTATCAATATTTGGAGTGAAACTGTCAGAAGCTTACAGTTTGGTCTATTCTCTGTGGTGTGAAGCGGTGTGTGCAGCCTGCTTTGGGTGGTCCACTTCACTGAAGCATGGTCTCCCTGTATCCCATCCCAGCTGACCACCCTGATACACTGTTTTGGCCCATCATTCATGCAGAAAGGCCCCTGATCTATCTCTTTCCAACTCCAACCTCAGACATCATCCCTCATAACTCACACCTTAAGTTGTCCAAGTTCAACCACCAGGAGACTCAAATTATTAGGAATTTGTTAACCCGACCTTCAATGAACAACTGAAATATCATTCAAATTCAAAACGTGCTTTATTGGCCTAACAGCTATGAATAACTTTGAGTTGTATTTGATTTTAAATAATGTGAATTTAGTTTGTGTCCACATTTCTTTGAAATATGAAGAGAATACTGCAGTAAAAAGTACCTTATTTTTTCAAATATTTGCATAAAAATTATTGGGCTTTTTAAAAAATAAAACAGTACCTTAACATTCAGTGCATAGAGGTCTACCTTTGAAAGATTTTGTATACTTAGGACGATCAAGTCTTTATTTTGTCTATTATGATTCTGCTATGGATCATTCCCAAAATATGTTTGGTCTTACTGTGCTGATTTGGAAAAAAGGAGCATCATAAAAGCTAAGTGCCTGCATTTAGCTGTGTCCAAATGCAGTGTGTTTGTGTGTGAGACCAAAGTATTTGCTGTATATTTATGGGGATGACTCTCATCGTGACCCTTCAGCAGCCTTGTATATTATTTCAGGATATTTCTCTTTTTATTTAGACAAAATCTGCCCCTTGCAACAGCTGCGTTTTCATAAGCATTTTTGTGTACTCTTTCCCCCTTTTCTTTACCCCCATCAAATTAGCCTTGATGAAGGTCTGTAATGTATAAATAAACCCTGTGGCATACAAATGGATGGCTGTTGAGTGAGAGTCACGCAGGAAAGGGATCAGAATACTCTCTACAGAATTGTCAAGAAAATAAATATCCCTCTCTACAGACATCTGTGTCTTCATAAATATCCAAAATATTTTTGGGGAAACACTAGGAAATGACCCTGTAGTTTTGCATTAGTCATATTACTTACCTGCAGGCAGCCAAAGGGTTTTTATACCAAGTTATGCCCTCTAAAACTTTTGCTCCCTTAAGATAGAGTTTCCATTTTCTTTCACAAGATTCCTCTCAGTTCACCCCATACCCCAGGGTGTTGATCCTTATTGTCTCCCCCGAGGCCTACAGTGACCTTAGAACAACATCCTGTAACCTCACTACATCTCTCCTCACCTCACTGACTCCAAGCTATTTTTATTATTTAGCTTGAATAGCCTTTTTATGAAAGGTGGTAAGGAAGCCCATAAAGAGAGTTGTCAGTCTATGCTTTACCCCTAGCCCACTTATCAGAGCATTCTGCTACGTGAGTTCCCCTGTAAAAACATTTGTGATATATATCAGTGTCTCTAAATGAACGCCACTGAAAAGCAATCTGCAACATACCAAAATAAAACTTCTTAACTTCACATTTGTTTTAGCTATGACCTTAGTTATATCTCTTTCATTAATAAAGAGTGGTTGTCTTTTGTTATTTTGAAAATGTATCCTTGGTTACCTTAAAATTCACTAAAACGGACTCATCCTGATTGTGGATTTTGCTACTTTTATATATAAGAAATTTTACATTAGTCACTCATCCTTTAGTTTTGGTTAAATTTGGTAAGAAATTAATAGTAAGTACTGCTGATAAAAATGTGAATGGTCATGCACAGTTTTTTTTTTTTTCCACAAGCAAATGGAGGGTTGTGTCTAACTGGTCGTTATTGTTTTTGATAATACCCTAAAGGTTGTTTTGGTAGTAAGATTTGGTGTAAATGAGACATTTTTCTTGTCAAGGAAGCTTTAAAGAATGTTTTTCTCTACTCCAGAAAATCCCCGAAAGGAGTCCATAAATCACAGTTAGGCATGTATTTCCTGATTAAACAAATTAAGCATGTAATGACTGGGTAAATGTCACATTGTGCTGTCCTTGTGGTATCACAGGTGCAATGGGATTTGGACTCTTATTCCTCTAAAACATTTTTCAACTCTGGTCCTCAGGGACCATTGTCTTGTATGTTTTTTAAATGTCCCAGCTCCAGCACACCTGATTCAGATGAATATGTCGTTATCATCCTCCTGCATAGCTGAGAATCTTATCTGAATCAGGTGTGATGGAGCTAGGACACTTGGAAAACATGCTGGGCTATGGTCCCTGAGGACCAGGGTTGAGAAAAGCTGCTCTAAAGGGTGCTAACATATGCGTTTTTTATTTTCTTTATTAAGTCTAGGGTAGTTGTGTAATACTGGAAAAGATGCAACACTGCTAATCAAACTCACATAATTGATTATCAGTGAGTGTGAGCACTTCTATAAGGTTTGGTCAGTTTTCTGGTCTGGAGCATTCACAATGGAAGATAGTGCAAAAACAACAAACATGATCTTAGAGAAGCAGTTGGTGCTGCTCATCAATCTCGTAAGGGTTATGGCTATGTAAATATAAAAACAAATATTTCAAGGTCTATGTTTATACAGCCAGAAACATGGGGTTACTCATACAAGCGACTATTTTGTGCTTTCTCCTGATCCATGCACTAAACACGTTGTGTTTGTCGAAAATATAGAATTGAATATAAACTATTTAGAGTCCATAATTCTCAAAAACTATTCACTATAAGAAACATTCAGAGCAGCTGTCAGTCTTCCCAGCTAGGTCAGCACAAAGCAAAAAATCCAAGAGCTACGTCTCAGACTCTACTGACTTCAGTTAGCATATTAAAGGTCAACGTTCATGTTGGTGCGGTTCGTAAAAGACTGAAAAAATAAGTTTTGTTTTGAATGGTTGCAGGAGAAAGACCCTTCTCTGTAAAAAGAATGTGGTAAAAAAGAACAGCTTAGGTTTGCAAAGTTGCAACTGAATAAAGACTTCTGGGACAAAGAGTAAAGCAAAGTGGAGATGTCTGGTCAGAATGCACAGAAACCAAACACAACATATGAGCACAAACAACTTATTGCAGCTGTCAGCATTGTAGGGGAGGGTGGATGATTTGGGACAGTTTTACCGCCACAGGGCCTGGGTACCTTGAAGTCATTGAATCCACTGTGAACCCCTTTAGATACCAAGGTGTTGAAGAGACCATGTGTCTGACATGTTGTTGTACAACAAGACAATGACCACAACCCCAGCAATAATTTATGAATGTCTTTTAACTCTTCAGCATCCTCTGTGATACAGGGTTGACAAACAATGGAAACTTAAATAACTTCAGTAAAAATGACCAATATGACCTACAAAACATAACAGGTTTTCAAATTATTGTAGTTAAACTTGTGATTATTTCACTGTGTGTGTTTTGGGATCTTGCCGAGAAAAATGAAAAGTAGGAATGCACAGGTTTTTAGGCTCTAACGGAGACCTGCATCAAGCTGTGATTTATGTCTGCCAAGACAGAGTGGACATGACCAAGGGGTCATGTTTTCACACCAAGTTTTTTATTTTCCAACAGAGAAAGAGAGGAGGGTAGCAAGGGGCAGCAGATAGAATGAAGACATGGGTCTTGTCTGGGCCATGCAGACCAAAACCACAAGTAGGCCAGTTGGAAGGAGTATTTGTCTAGCTGCAGTGTTCATAGCACTCAGTGGAAAGCCACCCACCGTGCTGGGGGACCACTGTGCTGAGGCAGTCCAACCTCCACACTGTTGAGTCACCATGAGCGAGCAACAGAGTGAGGTTTATGTGACATGTTGTGTGTTTTGAAGACGAAGCAGTCATACGTTGTTGGATGAAATCTGCTGCTTCATGGAGACAGGTGCTCCCATCTGTGAAGCCAAAAAGTGCAATTTGCAAGTTGTACTTGAAAGGAGTGTAGTAAGTGTTACTCAATGCTGCAGTAAAATAACCACACCGCCACAGTATGTTTCTAAAATAAACAAAACTTAAAGACCAAGATTGTGGGTGGGGTTTTTGTGTATTCACTGTATGGTTCGCTTGCTCCTCTGGTGGGCGTCTGTTAGTAAGTGTGTGCATGTGGTGGCATTGCTGAGTACCTTCACGATTCATAGACACACACAGGCCTTGCAAATGCCAGCTGAGCAAACATCCTCAGGTTTGCTTTCAGCCAAGGGAGTTCCTTCCCTAATACCTTCCCCTCCTTTTCACCATCAAGTGCCTGAGTGTAATTGGGATAAAGCAAACTCTCCTTCAGCAGCACACTACACTGGAAGCCTTCAACTGCCAGCCATCCAGTTCCCCTACTTTAGCCTCCACAATTCAGCTGCATGTTTGATCTTTGTATACACAGCTAGCTTGGCAAATTCCTCCTTTGCGGTTTTAGCCTTGAAATCCTACACCATTAAATGCAGCCCTGCTCTGGTTCTGGACATCATCATAGACCTTGGTGGCCAAGGTGGAATTCCCAAAGAGGGAAACACATCAGTGATTTCTTTATTTCTTTATTTTTGTTGCTGTTTTATACATTGCTGTTTTAAATAATTCAGGTAATTTCAAAATATGTTGAATTATATTGATGCTACCAGCTTTTAATTAAATACAATTAAGAATAATAAGATTATTTTTGGTATTGCTTTTGCCCACAGAAAACACTTGAAATGTCTCCATGGTCTGTAATACAGGCATTTGCTGGTTCAGTTCAAGAAAGTAAAAATGTTTTTTTAACATAAAGACAGGTAAACCTATTTTTTCCGTTTAAAAAAAAGCAACAACTTTGGATCTGTACATGGCAGCAGTAATAAACTTAATGATACGATTCTGAAATTATGATTTATTTTTGTTCCATTTAAGTTCAGTTCAATTTCTATCCACTTTCAGAACCTGGTTTCTGAAGCAGCACGCAAGAAGGAGCGGGAAATGGTGACGCGGGAGATTGAGCGGCTGCGTTCATCCATTCAGATGGTGTGCCGTAGTTCTCTACCTTTGGGTAAGATCATGGACTACATCCAGGAAGACATGGATGCCATGCAGGCTGAATTGCACACCTGGCGACAGGAAAATAAGGAGCATGCACAGGCTTTGCTGCAGGAGCAGAGGTTAGTTTCTTACACACAGCTGTTTGTTACATGCTTCTGAGCTTAGTTAATGGATAAACACAGCCATGTGCATCTTAACAATGTGCATTCTCAGAATTTAAATGTAATAAACGATCATTTTTACATATTATATATATATATATACAGGGGTTGGACAATGAAACTGAAACACCTGGTTTTAGACCACGATAATTTATTAGTATTGTGTAGGGCCTCCTTTTGCGGCCAATATAGCGTCAATTCGTCTTGGGTATGACATATACAAGTCCTGCACAGTGCTCAGAGGGATTTTAAGCCATTTTTCTTGCAGGATAGTGGCCAGGTCACGACGTGATGCTGGTGGAGGAAAATGTTTCCTGACTCACTCCTCCAAAACAGCCCAAATTGGCTCAATAATATTTAGATCTGGTGACTGTGCAGGCCATAGGAGATGTTCAACTTCACTTTCATGTTCATCAAACCAATCTTTCACCAGTCTTGCTGTGTGTATTGGTGCATTGTCATCCTGATACACGGCACCTCCTTCAGGATACAGTGTTTGAACCATTGGATGCACATGGTCCTCCAGAATGGTTCGGTAGTCCTTGGCAGTGACGCGACCATTTAGCACAAGTATGGGGCCATGGGAATGCCATGATATGGCAGCCCAAACCATCACTGATCCACCACCATGCTTCACTCTGGGCATGCAACAGTCTGGGTGGTCCACTTCTTTGGGGCTTCTCCACACCGTAACTCTCCCGGATGTGGGGAAAACAGTAAAGGCGGACTCATCAGAGAACAATACATGTTTCACATTGTCCACATCCCAAGATTTGCGCTCCTTGCACCATTGAAACCGTCGTTTTGCATTGGTACGAGTGACCAAAGGTTTGGCTATAGCAGCCCGGCCGTGTATATTGACCCTGTGGAGCTCCCGACGGACAGTTTTGGTGGAAACAGGAGAGTTGAGGTGCACATTTAACTCTGCCGTGATTTGGGCAGCCGTGGTTTTTTGGATACAATCCGGGTTAGCACCCGAACATCCCTTTCAGACAGTTTCCTCTTGCGTCCACCGTTAATCCTGTTGGATGTGGTTCGTCCTTCTTGTTGGTATGCTGACATTACCCTGGATATCGTGGCTCTTGATTCATCACAAAGACTTGCTGTCTTGGTCACAGATGTGCCAGCAAGACGTGCACCAACAATTGGTCCTTTTTTCAACTCTTGTATGTCACCCATAATGTTGTGTGGATTGCAATATTTTGAGCAAAACTGTGCTCTTACCCTGCTAATTGGATCTTCACAGTCTGCTCTTATTGGTTCAATGTGAAATTAATGAAGATTGGCCACCGTGCTGGTCCAATTTAGCCATGAAACCTCCCACACTAAAATGAGAGGTGTTTCAGTTTCATTGTCCAACCCCTGTATATGTGTGTATGTATGTATGTGTGTGTGTATATATATATATATATACAACAACACAGAGCCTTTCCAAAAAATTAAAATGTAATGGAAAATTGTTTAATTTCCATTAAAAAGTTCAACTTTCATATATAATAGATTCAGGGCCCAAAATGTAAATGATTTGAGTAGTTTCTTTATTGTTACATAATTTAGGCCTGCTCAGAAAACCCACAAAAACAGGAATTAAAAAAATTTGAACACTGAAGAAATCATCATTTACTTCAGTTTGTTTCTTTTCAGAAATTAATAAATAGATTAGGATCAAATCAATCAAAATATGGTACTTTCAAAACAATATGTCAATCTTTAATACTTGGTTTGGAATCCTTTTGCCTTAATCACTACCTTGATGTGACGTGTTATAGAGGCAATCAGCCTGTGGCCTTGCCTGGGAGTTATGGAAGCCCAGACTTCCCTCATGTTTGCTACCAGCTCTTCTTTGTGCCCCCCATTTTTTTTTTAATTGGCTGGCCAGTCAAGCATTATGATGGCATGGACATCAAACCAGGTTTTGGTGCTTCTGGTAGTATGGGCAAGTCCTCCTGGAAATCTGAATCTCCATACAGATCCTCAGCAGAAGGAAACATGAAGTCCTCTAAAACATTCTGTTAAATTGTTGCGGGGACCTTGGATTTAAGAAACCAGAGTTTAACAACACTGGACATTGCACCTCAAATCATGACTGACTGGATGTTTAACACTGGAGCTTAGGCAGCTTGGGTTCCTTTCCCCACCTATCTTCCTCTAAACCCTAAGATGTGGATAACCCAATGAAAGGTACACTTTACCTTCATTTGAAAAGAGGACCTTGGACCACTGGGCATCAGTCCAGTGCTCTTTCTTTTCCTTGACCTGGTTTAGACGCTTCTTATGTTGGCTCAGGTTCAGAAGTGGATTGACCCGAGGAACCCAACAGTTGTAGCCCATCTTCCAGATGCGTCTGAATGTATTGGTTTTTGAAGCTGTGACACTCAGTTTAAAACATTCATATTTTCTTGAATTCCTGTTTACATGGGTTTTATGAGCTGGAAGCCTAAATTATGTAACAATAAGAAAATAGATACTTGAAATTCTTTAAATTGTGGGCCCTGAATCTATAATCTATGAAAGTTAAACTTTTTTTATTAGAATTATCTAAATAAAACAACCATTTTTGGAAAAGGTCTGTATATGTGTTTATGTTGTTTTTTGTTGTTTAGAAAATGGTCTCGTATGTTACACTTAACTGACACTTAACTTTATTTTATTTATTTATTTATTTTTTAGCTGCAAGGTGGGTGACATTTTCAATAAGTCTTAATGAAATGTCTGTGATTTTCTTTGGTCAAAATATCATAGAGAGAAGTTGGAATTCTTCCCTCTTAAAACTGAATTTGCATCTTATGGTCATTCAAACTGAAGTGCATGTTTGTATGTTGTTTGTACTGCAGTGCGACAGACAGAGCCGTGGACCCTCTTAAAGCAGAGCTAACTGAGCTAGAGCAGCTGATCAAGGACCAACAGGACAAGATTTGTGCTGTGAGGTCCAACATACTCAAGAATGAGGAGAAGATCCAGAAGATGGTGACTGGGATCAACTTCTCCTCCAGAACCTGAATTCAGCATAAAGGACCATGAGGAAAGAAAAACAAAGAATGTGCTTTGAAAATTAAGGCAAGAGCAGTCTTCTGTTTAGAGAAAATGGTTAGGGCATTTTTTTGGACATTATTAGAGATGGGGCTGAACACTGCTCTGCAAGGTAGAGAGTCACCAGGTACATGCCCTGCACAGCTGGAGAAGCAAATGTCTGTAACATGCTGTGTTTAGAGGTCTTCCATCGTTTAAAAACGTGCTGAATTGATGGAATTGAAAATGTGGATGATGGTATTGGAACTTAAGCAGCTGCTTAGCCTGATGATAAATGAATGCTTTAAATGAATCCGTCTGCTCTGCACACTAACCTAACGCCACCTTTATTCTGTAATGGTGCCTTTGTGACATGAGCCAGTGCTCAGCTCAGGACTTGGAGTCTGCACTCGAACTGAATGCTTGCTTAACTGCACATTAAGCAACCACTTGTTACAAATTTTGAATGTTTCTTTTGGCTAATCATAAAAAACAGCCCAACATTTAGTCTTTGTTATGATGATTTGGAGCATCAACATGGAGTCTGAAAGCTGACTTTTTTCTGCTTCTTTTCTGTTATAAAGGTCAAGTGCTGAAGTGCTGTTAGACGTCCTAATTAAACAGAGTGGTGGCACAGTCAGCTAATTAACAACGTGAATGTAATGTAATGCATTTTGCTTTAAATGCCATTTTACAGGACATACTGATCATTTGGTTTTTAATCTTGGCTTCTCTCCCTTTTACAAAAAAGGTCTTCCCTGTTTTCAGTACCTTTTCATTGTATCCAAAAGTAACACGGTAACTTCAGTCACTCTATAGAAGCACTGCTGCACTTTGATAAATTATATTTTCAAGTCTTTTAGAAAAATGAGATGCTTCCTTTCAAGGAAGCTGTGTTTGCCCTTCCCAGTCTGTCAGAACTACATTGAAAGAGATTATTATTGTTTTTCTTTCCAGATAAAAAGACATAAATACAGTGTGCTGGCAGTTGTACAGTAGAATTTGCCAAATTGTTCCAGTTTTTTGGGGACAGACTTTTTATTTTCAACTGTAGAAAGTCATTTTAGTAGTCTATTTCACAATTATATATGTCCTTTACACTTTAAAAAAAATAAAGCAATACAAGAGCGATAATGTAGTTGAGATGAACAACTTAAAACAAATATTTTGCCAGTTTAACTCTAAACTTTGGAAATTACAATATCACATTTTTCCAAGTGGAAATAGCCGCAACAACAAAAAAATTATAAATAATCTACTGTATCTTATTTCAAACCATATAATGATTGGTAATTCAACTTCTGTCAAAACCGGTTCCAATAATTCAGATGTGAATGTAGTGATTTTGTGGTGGCCGCTCTCTTTACAGCACTGATTTAAATAAATCTATTGGGTTTATGGGTTTTGCACTTGATAAGAATGATCAGCTGCTTGATGACAAAGATTTCAATTTTTAGTTTGTGGAAGAAATTTTTTTTTTCTTTCATGCTGGATGTCGAGACAAACAGAGAAATTCATGTTAAACCAACAATCATCATAATCTGAAACTCCTTTTTTTAAAGGATTTGGAATTGACTTTTTTTTTTTCATTTAAATTATCACTGAGCTACAAAACACCTGCCCTTTCCCCATCACAGTATGACTGCATGTTTCAGCCTATCAAACTCAGTGAATGTCTTTAAGTTCATATTTTTTCACTAAAACCACATCTGTTACTTAACATTTCAAAGCATGGATGACAGAAAGTTAGCTTTTTTTTCTTTCCTGCTACTGCAGCCAAGTTGTTTGTTATTGGCTTGTCCAACTTCTTTTGTCCTCATACATGCGCTGATGTTCAGAGTAAGAACATCTGGGTTCACTTACTGATTTGACAACTAGCACTATAATACTTAGCAAGATCTCCTATGTTAAGTATTAGTACATTTAGGTGACCACAAGATACATGCCTGATGCATAAATGGACCAGAAGGTTATGAACCCCATACAATACCATTCAAAGCTTTTCACACATGCTCCTCCAAACAAGTTGCTATGTGTGTAAATGACATATCTGCTCAGAACCTGCATTTATTACGATTATTTTAGTAAAGCATTTACCCAGTGGGAGGATTCTCTTAAGCTTTAACTATGTGAAAAGAAAAAAAAAAGTTTCACTAATTTAAACTTTTACACTGTATATACAGGGGTTTGCACTGCACAGAAGTGGGGACCATAAACTGAGGAAAAAGCAGCCAGACTTCACAGATAAATCCACTATTTTCAGATAAATATTACATTAATTCTATCCAGTATAATAGGGAAACGTATAGGTGGTGTATGGACAAATAACTTCAAAATATAGACAGAAAAATGGTTTACCGAAATGGATACACTGAACCCTGCTTTTAACATAGCCTCAGTTTGTCTTTAAACTGTACATAATGTATATGTGGGGATTGTATCATAGTTCAGATGATTCTATAATTTTGTAGTGGAGTGAAATAAATGGGTACATTGCAATAAATGTTTGTCCCTTGTTTATTATTTGTAATGGGGGCATGCTTAGAGAAAGCCAGACAAAGTCAGAGAAGCTTTATAGTGGAAGTCTAATGATAGGGCTCCACTTCTCTAGCTAAGATGAGTGAAATGATGAATAACTGGTTTGTGACTCTGACAATTGCATTCTGTGAAGTCTTTGTGGCATCTTGTTTGTCCAAATCACACTCAAGGAGATCATTTTCATCTCCCTGTAAAGATCCTCAGGTTACATAAAAAACAACTACTGCACAAAAAAGACTGTTTGGATTCAGCAACTGACAAGCAAACAAAAATTTCTGCAGAGCTTATTTGTCCTTGAATTGATTGAATCCATTGTAGAACAGATATCAAAGTTTCAGACATCTTTATCGGTTTTTAAACTTTGGGGGTCGCACAGTGGTGTCGTGGTTAGCACAACTGTCTCAAAGCGCAGACCTTTATGTTTGGAGTTTGCATGTTCTCCCTGTGCCTGTGTTAGTACTCCAACTTCCTCCTACTATCCAAAAATATGCATGTTAGGTTAATTGGACCCTATCGACTGCCCCTAGGAATCAATGTGCATTTATATGATTGTACGTAAGCAGTTTAGATGATGGCTCGATGGAACTTGAATTTGCTTACCCTGCCACAGCCTTCCATTGGTGTTTGTGGGGCCTTGATCTCCTTAATCTTTGAATGAAGCCAAAGCATAAAGCTTATAGTCAGTTTTGAATAATTAGGAAATGGTTATTTTATTGACTTTTCTTGATGAATTAATTCAATCCATTATTGGGCCTACTATTTAAATGATAAAAATAGAACAAATCTTTTTGTGAACTTGTGTTTCATCACCTTTATGACACAAAGTTGAAAGAAAACAGGAAACCTGTCTACATACGAGGATGTATTACTGGCAATCTGCTTTATTTTTACAGCCCTGCTGGGATCTCAGTGTGTTGGGCCACATATGTACTTCAGTGGTGTGTGTTATCCATTAAAAACATAACACGGCACACTGACATTTAAAAGATGGTTAGTGGTTGAATTTTTGTGCTAATACAGTGGTATAGGCTTTTTTCAGTTTTTTTTTATACTGTGAATCCACATACAACAAAATGTATTAATTGATTTGGATGTATGGGCTCATTTGTCCATTAAAATTCCTGTGCTGTTGGTTTTTTAAAGGTGGAACTCATCTACATACAATACACTGCATTTTGCCAGTAAGACAATTGCCACTCAGGAAGTGCCTCACATGGCCCCAAAAACTCTATTCTGGGTTTTACAGCTAGTCTACGAAGAGAAGCAGATACAAATCATAATATGTACTTGTTACTTCCAACCATAATAAATCTCATCTGATAAATCATAGTTTGTATTTGTTATGGGAATGAGTATGTTTTTTTTTCAAATCCTTGGCTGTTAACTTGAGAGTTGTAATACTTTGCATGAACTGAAATTTAATCGCTGCCAAGTTGAGCATCCAATAGATTGCCAAGTTAAAACGTTTACTCTTTTGCTTTTCTGATAAATACACCTTTACCATATGTGTTATTTTAAAGGTTTGGAACTCAAAGGAACAAACACAGAAAGATTAACATGTTTTCCAAATTTGATTACAGTTGGGCAAAAAAGCAAGCGGCACGGTGGTGTGGTGGTTAGCACTGTCGCCTCCCAGCAAGAGGGTTCTGGGTTCGAATCCCGGGGGAACCAGGACCCTTCTGGGTGGAGTTTGCATGTTCTCCCTGTGTCTGCGTGGGTTCTCTCCGGGTTCTCCGGCTTCCTCCCACAGTCCAAAAACCTGCATGTTAGGCTGATTGGAGATTGGGGAAATTGCCCTTAGGAGTGAATGTGAGTGTGAGTGGTTGTATGTCCTGTGTGTTGCCCTGCGATGGACTGGCGGACTGTCCAGGGTGTACCCTGCCTCTCGCCCGTTGACCACTGGGATAGGCTCCAGTTCCCCCCGCGACCCCATGAGGGAATAAGCGGCATTGATAATGGATGGATGGATGGATGGGCAAAAAAGTATTTAGTCTGTCGTCAATTGTGCCGGTTCTCCTACGTAGAACGATGAGAGGTCTGTAATTGTCATCATAGGTACACTTCAACTATGAGAGGCAAACTGAGAAAACAAATCCAGAAAATCACATTGTAGGATTTTAAGATAATTAATTGTAAAATAGTATTTGGTCACCCATAAACAAGCAAAATTCTTAAGATGCTATTCTGCCCTCTACTCGTTACCTGTATTAATGGCACCTGTTTGACCTCATTATCTGTATAAAAGACACCTGTCCACAGCCTCAAACAGTCAGACTCAAAACTCAGCCATGGCCAAGACCAAAGGCCTGTCAAAGGACACCAAAAAGAAAATTGAATACCTTCAACAGGCCGTGGGGTCCAAGTGATCATGAGCATGGTGAGCAAAAATAGCTGAATTACACAGAGGGACCTGATAAATGACCAGCAGAGAAAGCCTACCCTCTGTAACACATTATACTTGCAGTGGTACCTGCAGTGCCATTACATGTCCTGGCCCATCTGAAGTCTGCCAGAGATCATATGGATGATCCAGAATAAAATTGGGCGAACATCATCTGGTCAAACATGAACAAAATAGAACCTTTTGGTAAAAACTTATCCCGTCGTATTTGGAGGAAGATGAATGGCGTCATGTATTGTGAGATTTTTTTTAGGCCAAAACCTCCTTTGATCAGTGAGAGCATTGAAGATGGGACATGGCTAAATCTTCCAGCATGACAATGATCCAAAATGCATTCGGTCAACAAAGGAGTGGCTCTGTTATTTCAGGGTCCTGGAGTGGCCTAGCGAGTCTCCAGACCACAACCCCGTAAAACATTTGTGGAGTCCATTGAAAGTCTGCAGTCTGAGAATGGGCCAAAATACCAGCTGCAGTGTCTGAACACCCGGGGCCTGTACAACGAAACGGGTTATCAGGGTAACTTGTAGAGTAATTTGATCACGTGAGGAGCAACTTCCCGACAAACAGGTACTACGAAATGTGGATCAGGTATGTTGGTATGGCAATTTGCTCCACCTCTCAGACCTGGTCCGAGCAGGTTATGTTCTTGGTTAACTCCAGATTTCCACTTAACAACTCAATTCATAAGTACCGCCCCTCCACCAACAATCTCTCCCAAGACAATGCCATCGTATTAGGATGATCTGTGTGAAATTGGCGCACGAATTGTGAGGGGCTGTCAGGGAGGGTCTTTAGGGACCACCAGGATCCACTGACCTACCTAGATGATGCAATTGTCATTTTCCCTGATTTGTGGTTTCATCTTATTTGGATCTGTTATCAATGTTTTTCTTTTACAAGATATAGCCATCACACAGAATTGGCATCTTTTCCACCCCTATAGCCTTTTGTGGGGAACAGTATTTACAATTACAGAGTACTAGTGATATGGATAGAGTGAAGATGTGTAATACTTTTTAAAGATATTTCTCGATTTCCATTTTTATCTATTTTTAAGACTCAGCATAATGCAACAAAAAGGTAATAGGATAAAGACAAAAGACTGATACATTTATTGCTAATATTTTTGTATTACGTTCACTTGTTTGAGCCATTTACAGTATGTTCAGACAGTTTTACACATCAACACAATCTAACTAAATCAGATGTTGGCTTGGCATGACACCAAAACCAACTGTGGTTGTGTTTTAATTAATGAAATTAGTTTAAGAATTGCTCAAATGTATATTAATGAGTATTACATTTCAGACTGTGAAAGGTGTACAATTCAGTATTTGGTCCTTTTTAGGATTCATTTTCCTCATTCACAAATGCATGATTTCTGTAAATTGTTGACAAATTGTCAAACTAGTTACAAAAATGATCCAACAAAACTCTACAGGGGTGTAGGTTTTTCTGCTTTAAAAATTACAGTTGTGTATTGCAATGTGATAGAAATGGCATTTGTTAATCGCAGGTCAGAAAAAAGTGAATTTGTCTTATTATCCAGGTTTTTAGTTTTATAGGTCTTTAACTACACACATTAAATCTAATGAGACCAATTTAGGTGAAGCTCCTTTTGACAAACTTGACCCTTGCCCTAAATTAAAAAAGAACCCACACCATATAAATGTTGTGCAAGATGTTTTATTCCTCTCCCTTTCCAGAAAATCAGAGGGGAAATTAACATTGATACACACGTACAATAACAGGCTGGTAAGAGCACAACTGCTGTATATTGTACTTATTCCTGTCAAGCTCCAGTTTCTCAATTTCTAAATCCTACAATGTGATTTCCTCAATCATATTGTTTCTCTATAATTTTGCCTCTCACTGTTGATGTGTGCCTATGAAAATTAAAGTAGGATAACCTGCACAATCAGTGGCTGACTATAAACCAAATATATACTAAAAATTGTTTTCAATTAAATTGTTTTGGCTGGAGCTCACAGTTAATGTATTAAGCTGAATGTCAATAACTTAAATGTGAATGTATTTATTTTACATGATCATATTGTTAGGCCTTGAGCCTTTTGCATCAAGAATGACAAAACACAAAGGAATGGAAAGATTTGAATGTAATTGGAAAAATATCACATCAAAGAAATCGTGAAGGTATCTAACAAATCTTTACAGATACCACCAGTCATAAAAGTGTAAAAACCATGCGTCAATAGTTTTAAAGCATATGTCGCAATTCACTATTGCAAAGGTCACTAAAAGACTTTTGTCTGAGAGTGAAAAACAATTTACTTAGTCACTTGCTCTTCAGCCTGGACCTTGTTCACCAATCTTCTGTCAATCAGGTTCACATTAAACAAAAAACACACAAACTAAAATGTAAATGCATACTAATTACAACCATGAAACCCAAAGGCAAAAGGTGGAAAAAGCTGCAAACACAAAAAGTGACTCTAAGTGCTTAAACCTCTTGAGTGAAACCCACAATTAACAATTCCAGATTAAAGGCACATCCTGATCCGCTTAGCTCTGTCACAAAAGACACCTGTGGAAAGAGGGGAAAAGCATGAATTCACTCATCCTGCATGGATATTCATACACTAAAATGTACCTTTATATTAAAAAAAGGAAATGAATACACAACATACCTGAAGCAACAGGCCATGTACAATTACATGTCTGATTCTGCAGAGAGAAATACAAAATGTGTTAATTTTTGCTTGTATCTTGTCAGTTCATGCAGTAAACATACACAAATGAATACATAGTCCAATAAATTTTGACCAATTACAGAATACAAATAATGCACCAACAAAAGATTGACTTCAGAAGGCTGAACAGCATCTGCTGGCTGTGTGTATAATGTTTAATTTCAGTGAGTTCCAGCTGGAAAGAGCATACACACCTGCTGTGTAAAAAGTCTGACATAGACTGACTGTCATGGCTCAAACATCACAACATCTGCATGTGTGAACACTTCATGCTACCACACTTCTGTTTAGTAGTTCTCAGTAAAAAAAGAAAAGGTTTGTCCTCATATTGATCTGCAGTAAAGTCCACCTTTCACTATAGGTTCAGTTCAGTTTCACCAGATTTTCTGTTACAATAATTTGGTTTGAGCTTTAGCACTGGGACATTTTCATCTGTTTTCTGTATATATGGACAACGAAACAAGTACTGTAGAACCATTGTGAAGACATCTGCAGCACAAAGGTCACATCACACAGCTAGTGTGAAGCAGCATCAGTTTAAACTAAGTTTACATGTTTACTGTCTGACATGTTAAAAAACATTTTTTTTCAGAAACTAATAAAATACTTCTTGATTCGATCTGAAGAATTACAAAGTATTGTAATTATTGTGCCACTATTTTAATAGTAATTCAATATTCATCCAAGATTATCAATTTATCCTTGGTCCAATTAAAAAATGCTAAAATAATATTTAAACCGTGTAGAACATTATTTAAGCTGTTTTTCAGCTGTTAATTCTACAAGAACTTTCCGATTCCGTCAGACAACAGTTAATGTATGTGTATCTACTGAGGAGTGAGGTAGGACAGTGGGAATCACCTGCAGTGACATATATAAAAAACATTTGTCTGAGCCCCTGCTCTCCTCTCATTGCCCGCCCTTCATTTTCCCCAATTCTTACTTTAACCATTTGACCACCACAGAAGAACAACTCTCACAGCTATATTAATACTATAATCATTGGTCAGACCAATACTTGCTAAATGGGACGGCACACATACCCCAGGTGTATTCCTTTTTCTTTCCCATGTGAGTCACTCTGCAAACAAAGTTCTCTCCAGACATTGGGGTGAAAGGAACATGCTTAGTAAGATGGTAATGCCAGCTCTCCTCAAAAGCCAGGTCGGTCTGCTTGGACCCAGGGATTTCCTGTCCATCCTTCAGAAGCTCAATGGAAATTTCTGGTGGGTGAAAGCCACTCACGTGGCAAATCAAAGTGTTGTCTTTGCCGTAATGCCCTGGTCCACGGCTGTACACCTGAACCTTCGGAGCAGCTAGAGGAAAACAGAGAACATTTTACACTGAATGAAAGGTAGCTGCTTCATATAGTGTAATCAGTTCTGTTGCTGTAATGCAAAAAAAATTACAACAAATAATCTTTTTTCTCTTTTTTGTCAATTCAAAAATACATTTAATGACATTAAATGAAATAATGTGGTCAAATGTCTTGTCCCTTTCATCTACTTATTATATTGAGTTATTTTTTAGGCTAATTTTTAGAGCGACTTTTACATTTTTTTTGTGGAATTCATTATGAAATTCAATTTGTTATTAAATATGGCGAGAATAAATAACGGGAATAAAGCTGTAAATATTTTATCCTGTTTTAGTAGACAAGAGTTGATAAAATAAGGGTCGTGGACCATGGAATTGGTGGAAATATGCTCTAAAATAGGTTTCACAAACAGAGAAACTTAATCTTTCGGCACATCAGCATCAGATTCTCATAAGTATCGGGACATAAAAAAGAACATGAAAGTAAATGCGATCAAGGGGCACTTGTAGGAAATGGCTGCTTTTGTGGAGGGGAAAATGTCCGGAAGTGGTCGATCGGTGGATTTTTATTCTCGCCATATTTAATATCGACTTTAATCTGGTATAAATTCAAAAATAATTTTAATCTGGCCCTAATACTTTATTGTACTCATTAACTTTTGAGGTTAGCTGTTTAATGATACTACAGTCGGCTAGTTTGTGTATATGTTTCCATTTCCACTGAACACCTGGTGTGAGGAAGGATCAGCTGAGTGATCAATCAATACTGTTATAAAATGCACACAGAATCTCTTAAAAAATCACACTAAACTGAAACACCTGTAAAACTAAAGTCTTATTTTGAGACTGCGTCAGTTTTAAAACGGTATGCGTCATTATTTACCAGTTGACGCAGGGGGCCAAATATGTGGCGCAGTTCTGAATCGGAAATCGGAAAGTCTCCGGCTCGGACATGAACTACAGGACTTTTGCCATCGAGTTAAGAACTATTTCGCTCACTGTTAACCATAAAAAGGTACTTCCTGTACCCATCAAATGGCAAGTTAAAATGCGTTTGTGTCTGTGTTAAAGCAGCCACCAGATTCAGAACTATTCGAACCTTTACTTTTAACCCTGCAGACATACTCTGTGGACATTTGACACAAACACTTCAGATATATCTCACTGAAAATGAGAAATGAGTTGATGATTAAGTTAGATGTATTTTGAACAACGAGTCAGCCATTGTGGGGGAATTCCGCACCGAAGCATAGCGCGATTAAAACAAGTAGTGTAAACATTTTTATTACCTTCTTTAGCCACTAAAGGATCCATGAGGAAGAGAACAAGAACTGCGATGAAAAGTTCCTTCATCTTGTCGTCTCTCGGAGAAAAACGAATAGATTGTTGAAGCACGAAAGACGTCAAAGCTCCGTTTTCCAAATCGAAAGTAAAAAGCTTGAGAGCTCAAAAACAAAAATGTAATGGGGCGGTGCTTCTCGGGCCGAGCAAATTGGAAACCTAGAAATGCTAAACGCACCCAGCAACTTGACTTTCGGCGTATCTCCGTTGCGTTGCACAGTAGCCTACGTATTATACGTACGCAGTTTACGTGTGCGGAGCAGCTGATCGCAGTCAGGAAGTTGCGCAGTGACTTGGCGTCTCCATCGACGCAGTCACGTTTTGTTTGTTTGTTTGTGTGGTTATTTCTGACCTGACCGAGGCTGCTAGCTTTCTCGTTTTTGCGGCAGCACTTTCAGCTTTACTCTGTGACCTTTCGTGAGCATGGCCGACAGCCCAAACGCTGATGTTGACGACCCGCCCAGTATCCCATTGCCTCCGCTCATCACTGTGTCCGGTCTGCCCAGTGCCACTGCCGCAGGTAACATGTCTGCATGAACCCCAGACGAAACGGAAGATGATCCTTCCTCACAGTGTTTGCTTCACATGTTGCATGAGATGGCTGCACGTAAACCCCCCAGATACATGTCCTGAAGCATGGTCCCAAATAGTCCTCTTGTGATTCCAAACGTATTCATGTTAGGGGACGGACCAGACGCAATTTGCAAATGGAAAACATTCATGACAGCAGTCAGTCTTTACAGGGTGAAAGCTGCAGCAAGTTTTCCCAAGGTCAAAAACCCAAGAAGTACATCTCACATTCCCCAGGCCTCAGTTAGCATGTTTAAGGTTAAAGGTCATGACAGTGGTTTGTTTTGAAGGGTTACAGGAGAAACCCTCTTCTCCCCAGAGCAACATTTCCCTCCACCCACTGAGACCTCCATCTATTAGATTTTTCTTTCTGTTATCTCCATAAATATTGTGATGACTTGGCTGTTGCTGGATATGGGTGAAGACAGGGTGCTGATCAGTCACTTTGTCTTAAACACAACCGGATATAAATTAATAATGGTCGACTTCAGAAAAGAGTATGGGTAAACATACTGTATACCATCTCCATCCAAAGTTAAGATAATTCAGTTCATGTAGCTCCAAATCACAATATCATCTCAATGTTCAGTAAAATCCCAGCCAGTTAGCATCTAGTTCTTTGTTATAAAATCACAGTCCAAGAAAATTAAATTAACTTCATTTTAAATTATATCAAATCCAACAGATTGTTCCAAAAATTCCCCTTTATCCATTGTTTTGTCAGAAGCATTCACAAGGATATAGTGGAAAGTAAAAATTGCAAGAAAACTTTATCAGAACCACGAAGGGCAGACATCTGCCTGGACCAGTAGGAGACGATTTGAAACAACGGCGAATATGCCCCTTGACACCAGGCCATGGATACCTGTTGATAAAAAGAACAGAAGTTAATGACAATAATAATGTCATATGCACGTGTTGACGCCTTATCTGAAACATAGAGGGGGTGTATGCTTTCTGAACAGGGAGATATCTATTTAAAATACATTTGAATTTAAGAATTGAAGCTACTTTATAAAGGGTTAAGGTGAGTGACAACACCTCTCAGGTGTCGATCAGCATTGAGTTATTGTACATTTCTGTGTTGCTTCTTGTAACAAAAAACAAGAGGCGATCAAATCTATTTGTCGATGTCCTTTTCAGGTCGCAACCTGAAGGAATGGCTGCAGGAGCAGTTTTGTGACAAACCTCTGGAGCAGGATGACATGCGGCTCCACAACGCCGCCTACGTCGGTGACCTGGACACCCTGAGGAACCTTCTGCAAGAGGAGGGCTTTAGACAGTGAGAGAATGTATTCATTAAACTGTAACTCTTCAATGTACAAAGCTACGTTATTCCTCTGTTGGAAAAAATCTAAAAAAAAATCTATCTAAAATCTATTACAGGTACAATATATAAAACTATAGAAATACAGTCTGTTGGTGCCATTTTCTATGGAGTAATTTATGCTCATGTTCAGTTATTATTTTTGGATGATTTTGGTTCTATGTTTTCATAGAATATTTATGATTGCAGTTTTACTAAGTTATTGCTTTGCTAATTTTTATCATTTATTTTAGTTTAATCTGCACTTATTTTAATGTTTAAACGATCTTGACGATAGGAACTGACACTGAGCGATAACGTTCGGAGCTCGCGCTTTTGTCGAATGTAAACTGACGTTTTTTGTCTGTTTAGAATTTTCAGTAAAGACGGGTGAACACACCGTTTTCGACCGTCGTTAAAACCATAACACGCGTAGACTAGTTCTTTCCGTCGGACCGAGTGGTTATTTGCATTCATCAAAGCGAAGAAATGGTCACCAGCCAAAAAAGGACATTTAGTCACTACACAGTCTGTGATGAACGTAGAGAAGGACTTTATAATGCAAGAACAAGAGATGAACAACACAAGAAAATTTACCCTTTGGTATAGTTTTACAACACTTGACTCCCTTTTGTCTTTGGGTTCCAGGCGTATCAATGAGAAGTCGGTGTGGTGTTGCGGCTGTCTGCCTTGCACCCCTCTGCGGATCGCCGCCACGGCCGGACACGCAGTGTGTGTGGCCTATCTGATTGCTCAGGGTGCTGATGTAGATCTAGTTGATGTCAAAGGCCAAACAGCTCTCTATGTAGCGGTGGTAAACGGCCACCTAGACTGCGTTCGGATCCTCCTTGAGGCGGGAGCTGATCCCAATGGAAGCCGCCATCACAGAAGTACCCCGCTTTACCATGCTGCACGCGTGGGGAGGGTGGACTTACTGCAGGAGCTCATCCGGTGAGGTTTCAGGCAAGGTTCAGCTGATCTGTGGCCATGTAAAGTCAGGGAACTTCTCAGCTTTGCTGAGCTTCTCACAGCAAGTAGAATTTTTCTTTTTTAAGATACTTCTCTTTTTACTTAAGAACTTTAAGAATTGGTTCATTCCAGGCATAACAAATATTTTTTTAATTCTATAAACAGTTACACAGAAAATACTGACAGTAAAGGCGGACGCACAAAAATGGTTGTATTCAATTAAATTCAATTTTATTTATACAGCGCCAAATCACAACAACAGTTATCTCACAGCGCTTTCCAAAAAGAGAAGGTCAGACGGTACTCTGAAGTTATTCACAGAAGTCCAACAATTCCCACCATTCACCACCATCTCTTTTATCGGTTCCTGTCAGAACATGTGCTGCAGCATTCTGGATCAGTTGAAGAGTCTTAATGGACTTTTTCGAGGAGCCTGATAATAAGGAATTGCAGTAATCCAGCATAGAAGTAACTAATGCATGGACTAGATTTTCTGCATAATTTTTACACAGGATGTTCCTGATTTTTGCAATATAATGTAGCTGAAAAAAGGCGGTTCTTGGAATTTGCTTAATGTGAGCGTTAATCAACATGTCCTGAGCAAGGTAACTCCAAGATTTCTCACAGTTGTGCTGGAGGCCAGGGCGGTGTCCTTGTATCTTATAATGCTCTCATTTCTGATCTAGTAAACTGTAAAACGTTCCCTCTCAAATACCATTTTCCATGAGACATTTCTTCACTTGTAATCTGTATTGTTTCATAACAGTACTTTAAGACTTTTGGAAAAGATTAACTGTATCCCTGGTCTGCTCTCTCCCAGGTTCAATGCAGATGTTGACATGGACCACCAGCTGGGCCCACGACTCCTCCTAAGTGCTCGTACCCTGAACACTTTGGTGGTTTGTCCTCTCTACATCAGCGCGGCCTACCACCACCTGGAATGTTTTCGGCTACTGCTACAAGCCGGTGCACAGCCCGATTTTAACTACACTGGGCCCGTTTGCCACGAGGCTCTGACCCGTGGCCTGGCCTCCTGCCTGCTGGATGCGGTGCTGCGACACGGATGTGAGGTGGCCTTCATCCACCTGCTGCTGGACCACGGGGCAAACCCAGCCCTGGTGCCCTGGGACGAATCGGAACTTGAAACGCCGAACCGGAGGAAAGTGGATCCCGAGGCACTCAGGGTCTTTCTGGACGCAAGACGTGAGTAAAACTGAAAAATGGGGGGAAATTCCAGTGCATGCAGATATCATGATGAAGCAACATACTCCTATGAAGCAGCTGGGTTCATAAGGAGCCAAAAGTAGTTGGATTCTATTCAGGAGAAGGCCCTACAGGGATGTCCACTGCCCACAAAAGGGGAAATTTTAAAAATAGATTTATTTTGTAACACGGTTTTCTTGTTTAGCTCTTAATTTCGGAATAACCTCATCAGTAAATATAATGCCATAGGAAAAGTTGTAAATATTCACACATTCTTCCCACAGGATCACCCGACAGCTAGTAACTAGTTAAGTGAACAAACTATTAATTTAATCAACAGAAAAAGCCCTTTGCAACAAAATGATCTGTAATTTGTTAATTTGTTTAAACCTTTATACAAGTATGAATTACATTATACTTGTTATTTAATTCTATTTAGATTTATAAAATTTATAAATTAAAAAAAATTATGTCAAGCTAAAAAGTTTGGATTAAGGCATCTTTATCTTTGTGTCACACAAGCTTTCATTTCGATAGCGTTTCTAGGATAATGATTGTGATTTTTTCAAAGGAATCTGTCCATTCTTGCAGTATAGACTTTTTCTACTGCTTCACCGTCTGTGGGTGTTGTTGTCTAATTCTCACCTTCATATTATTGTTTATACTATCAATATTAGATAAATGTGGAGTGTAGGCAGGCACATTCTGTAGCTCTGAAGCCTCATCTTAGTCTGAAGTCTGATCTTTTCATTTTTTTGGAAAAAAAAGTGAACATTTCTGCACAGAGCTGAAATGTGTTAGGTCCTTGTGTTAATAGAGTTTCAAATTACATTGGCAGAAGTGTGTTGAATAAAAATGGTACTTTCCTGGGAATACTGATCTTACTGACCATTCATTTTCTAATGCAGTACAGACTAATGGATTAAAGGTCTTGCATATCCAACTCTTCGATCTGTCCGTAACCTTTTTACACTGAGATTTTTCCTGACCCTCTGAATTATGCTGACATTGAGAAATATGTTCATGAAATTTATTGATTAGATTCAATAAAATTTGACATAAAACAGTGAGCTATGACCAAACCTGGGTTGGAAAAACAAAACCTTTCTTACGCCTTTTCCATACCCAATTGTGACATCCTAAGTTGTCACCAGTTGATCTGTTGATTGTAGTATCTTTCAGAGCAGTGTTACCAGTTGTATATGTAAACTTGTTTTTCTTTTAAAGAACATTGATTAGTGATAACATTCTTTGTTTTAGTTTTTTGTGGAGTGATGGTTAAATTAGCTCATTTTCTGGAGAACACTTTGGCACAACGGCAACTGTGGTTGATTTTTTTAATTTTTTGCCTGTTGGAAACGTTTCTTAAGTTGTTTTTTTTACTACTAACTGGTTATTTTTAAGCACACCTGCCTTTACATTTAGATAAAACTTGTCACAGCACAAGTACAATTCAGCTATTGCTTCCCAGCATTTTTTGAAAGCTTTGACTTAATAAATGTTTGGATTGTGTTATGATTAATTTGTAACTGCCTAGTTTTATTTTTCTTTTTTTTCAGGACAACCTCGAAGGCTTACCCATTTGTGCCGCATCAGGATCCGAAAAGCAATGGGAAAAATTCGTTTAAAACACATACCTTCATTACCACTACCAGAACCTATCAAGAATTTCCTGCTTCACCAAAATTGACCACTCATTTTCAATTTATTTTTTAATTAGAACAACACGATCCTAAAATATATTATAAAAATAGTACCATGTCCTAAAGACATGGTACTGTTTTTATTTAATTGTTTTAATCTTTATTTTGCATATGCTTTGAGGTTGTTAGTTATGTTATTTTGTCAAATATTGAACCATGTCTTGAACTCGTGTAAACTGTATGCCTTTCTTATGGTTAAGGTTTGCCTGTTGACTTCCCAAATCATTAGGATGTGTTATGGTCCCACTTCAGATAGTGATTTTTAGCATAACAATCACAGTTGGAATGCCATTCAGTTTCACCCAATGACTTCCAGATGTCATAATGAATGTTTTATTCAAGTATTAGGAAGATTACGCCAATTTAGCTCCTTGAAAATCTGCATTTCAACCCATAATGAACAGGCAGAATTGTTCAACAACTTAGTTTTCCTAAATTAGTTTGATAAAATGTTAGCATATCACGTGTGAATTCGATAGATTCGATGTTACTTGTTAATTTTAAAATGAACCCATCTAACTGCCTTCTACAAGGCACCCCCTACAGTTTGGTGCAATATGGCTACTGATATACTGGTATACCCAGTTAAAGTGATCTACTGTTCATATAAAGACGTGCTAGATAAGCTGTAAAATGAATATTTGAAGTTCACCATGACGTCCCCATATGGCTTGTGAACTGCTTTAGTGTGGTCTCAAGCCATGATCAATTATATTTTTTGGATAAAAATTGTTATATGAAGACAAAAATGTGAGAATCATACACATGGCATCTTTAGAGCAAAATACGCATTGTCATTCTTTTCATGTCTATCAGTTTATATAGGCTAATAATTCTAAAATGCAGAGAACACCATACTGACTGTGAGAAAATCTGTTAAAGAAAACTTCAGATAAATTTTCTGAAAGGGAGTCTGTAGGAATTGGAGTGATTTTGGAGTCAGAACCCGCAGAAGTTTGGTGGTATTAGATATCCTGGCATTTTGGTCTTCCACATAGTTTAAAGTTTTTAAGTCTTTGCCCCTCCCCCGATAGGCCAACTCTCACTTCAGTAGCTAAAGAAGGCAATTGAGTTTCACTTGCTTTACAAGTAGTCATCCGTGACAACTGTATTTATGGTTAGAAAAAATATGGATTTCACTTGGCCGCAATATGTTATTTGTTCTATTAAGTGTTACATGTAAATCGTAATGTTTGAAATTCTTTATGTTTTTCAGGAAGCAAACATTCAGGAGTAAAAGAGAAAATAAAGTCCCTATCTCCTGGCTGTATGTTGGAAGACAAGATAAGTTTACATATTTTGCCTTATTACCAACGCACATTTTGCATGTAGAAAATGTGTTAAACTTTTTTGAAAACTAGAAACTGGACAGTAATGAAAATTTGTTTTCTGTGACACTGACAATCTCTAAAATCTTGAGAAAAATGTTTTATGATGAACAGAATAAGTTTCTATTTATCACTAGCGGCCTTTTGTGCTAGTCTGTAGTTCTGGTAGTCTGCTGTGTGCATCTGTTGTACAGCTTTTCTTGAGAATAGAATTTAAATGTTGAAACATGTTGAAATGCCAGTGTGTTTTGCTTGATTTATTTAATTTTTATTTGCATATAATAAACATGATTGAGGATTGTACCCTGAATGTTTTTTGTATTGTTGAACTATATGGTGGGGGCAGGGCGTGAGAAATATTCCTCAAATGGGATGATTTTCGATCCTTCCTGTACTGCCATCTCCCTGAGTGATCTTGCATCATGATCAGAAGTTATTTTTCTTCTTTTCTTCTCAAGCCTTTCAAAATCTGTTTTATTTTAATGTGTCTGGACTTTAAGTTGTCTTAAATCCCTTGAGACAAAATCACAACTCTTGATATCAGGGCGGCGCCTTCCTCAAATGATGCAGCTTTTTGATCCAGTAAAACAAACTTTTAGAGTGCTCTTTAGTGAATTCCCAATTATGTATTATACATTATAATTGTGTTTTCATTTTCCAGTTTAATTCCTGGAATAATTATGTGATCGCTTCCTAGCCTTTTGAGATGAATGTGAACTGCAGCTGGGTACACAGCTGAATCCCATCAGAGTTGTCATACTGTCCATTATTCTACTGAAGTTATATCTAAATCAATCAAGAAAATAAAAGATGAGCATAAACAGAAATACACTAAAGTCAAACACAAAATGGAAAATACTTTTCTAAAATGATTGTTTCATCAAAGCCTGAGGGAAGCAGAAAGCTAATCTGACTGAAAGGAACATGAAACCTTTCAGCTGAACCTTGAGGTATCACTCAGAACCAGTGATATAGTGTATCATTTTTTTTTAGCTGAATGGGCTTTTTCCGGTAATAAAAAAAGATATTTAAAATTAATTTGAATTTTAATTCAAATCTTAACCTTGAATTGGCTGCATGAATATTTAAAAAAAACAATTTGACCCCCCCCCCCCAATAAATAAATAAAAGTTGTACCTAATTGCTGACTTGTTTTCTTTACAAGACTGAAGTTCCAAAATATGAAAGTAGCCAAACAGAGTAAATTCCTGGCAAAAATGATCATTTCCACCTGAGTTTGAGACATGTGTGTCGTTACAGCTCGAAGAGGCTGGAGTACATGTTTATGTGTTTATGTTTATGCATTTGGCAGATGCTTTTATCCAAAGCGACTTACAGAGTACATTACATTTCAAATAGTTACAAAATCAGTTCTCTTTTAAATTCTTTGGTGCTGTGTGGATGTTTACCAATTTAGGGACATCAGCCTGACTAATCTGAGGCCTTCAGTAATATATTGCTTACTGGTTAGTGAACATTTTTACATGTAGATATGGTTGTCTGAGAGTGTTGTCTCCACAACAGTAAATACAAAACATATGTCCAAGTTAATGTCTTGGATATGTGTAGTGAGTTATCTAGTTATGTGACCTCGGGTAGTGAAAACATAAACAAAAAGTAAATTAATTAATCATATTGGAAGGTTAACATTGAAAAGCCTGTACTTATGTATTAATGGTAAAGATGTGGTCACACCCTACCCTCTGCTCCCTGTTTAGAGAATTTCTGTAAAGGAAAAGTTCTATTCACAGATCCTCTATTTTGAGCTACTACCTTGTCACTGCTGACAGCAAGCTGTAATGCTGATGACCTGGGTTAAATGTCACCACTGCTATTCACCACAGAAAACTAAAATTGACAGTTCCACTGCTAAACTAGTTCAATCCAAGGTTGCTTACTAATGAGGGAGTTTTGATTTAAGCATTAAATTCTCTTACAGAACATATTAGATAATATTGATAGTTTTAAACATTTTTTTTATACAACCATATCTTAAATAATATCAAAATAATGATAATAATGACAGTGATTAGGGCAGTAAATGGTAGATAATTAGCCTAACTCATTATGGCCAAATACCTCATGAAGTTCCAGTGAAACTCGGGGAAAAGAGAAATATAGGGAGCATATTAGCTTAAGTTTTTATTTTATTCCAAAAATTGTAAGTGCTATTAATCCATCTTATGAGCTGAAGTTTATGATAAAATGTTGCAAAAGCAATTAGCTACATTACCTCTGGTGTGCCTTATAAAGCACATTACCTATTATAATTGTGTAACATCCACCTAAACAGCATTCTCGTTGTGTTGACGGCAAACGATCCACTGTTATGCTGGCACAACATAAAATGTTAGCATAGTACTTGTGCAGGGAAGACATTTTGTATTGCATATACCAAGTAAAGTTTCTCTGGCCTAACTACACATGTGACATCTTTATGAGAAAGTATTATACTCTAATCCAAGCGTGAGAGCAGCTAGATGAGACCATTGGATATGGTTGAGAAAGCTGATAAATGAGTCAGGATGTCATGATGATTGAGAAAACTGCCGTTGGCAAAAACATGAAAATACACTGCCTGGGAACCTAAGGAGGAAGCAGCAAGAAGAGGAACAGGGAGACGAGGCCTATCAGTCTCAAAAGGTTTGTAGATCCAAACAACAAGTAACGGTAGTAGATATGTGGATTTCTACATACATATTTAATGAATGATTCCTCTAAAAAATGAAAACCAATATCAAAGGCATTTTTTATATTGTCAAATTCTACCTCTAAATCATATTGATAAAAAAGGTTATCACTTTATTAGAGTTAAACTGTTTGTCTAACAGAAAAGATAAAAGGAAATAATGCAGCCATGAATAAGGTCTCTAGATGGCACTGTTTTCCTTTTAAGGACGGCAAACACAATGTCTCCCTTAGTTTTTCCCAACTTATATCTGTGACTTTGTTTTCAGCCTTTCATTCTTTTAAGCAATCCTTCTTTCTGTCGTCCTACATTTGTTATCCTCTCATGAAAAGTTTGCAGCAGGAGATTCTGCTGTAGATGTAGGAGCCTTATCCTCTCAGATCTAAAGCAAGCCTATTAACAGAACCCATATAGATACAGAATGGACAAAGATGGTTTTGGCAAACTGCTATCTTCATGTGAAGGGTTTCTATGTTATGTCAGTTTAGTAAGGTTGAAGGGGGATCCAGGTGTGTTTTTTGTTTAAAAATGAATTTCTGTTATTGTTAACAAAGAGGTGTCCCATAAAGAAAAATGTAATTTGACAATATATGTATATGAATACATTCTTGTAAAACTCCATTAACAGCTCCTTTTCGAAGGTAACATTAGATTGCACACTGGTTTATTTGTCAAAAACATCAAATATTTTACATATCTCAAATTGGGAACCTTTAAGCATACTTTTTGGTCGTTTACTGATAAAAGATGAAAAACAGTGGGTTATTGCTTTTTTCCCTCAGAAACTCACCAGGAGCCTGGAACAGCTGAATGATGTTGTTCATTCCTAAGTTTATTTGTGCCACAAACTGCAATTAAAATCTTAACAGCCTCTACTAATATCACCACAGTGTTCTGCTGTGAATGGGGACCAGCATGCCACATAGTGTTAAAGGCAGTGCAGCTTGCTTTGTAATCCGCCTGCAGATTT